ATGCCTTATACAATCGCCAAAAAGTACAGTTAAAATAAGAAAAAAAATCTCATTAATAAAAAATGGGGAAAATTATAAATCATTGGACAAGTTATATCCTCCTCCGCTAGACGGCTGTGTAGGAATAGCTTGTACTTGTGTTCATATGTAAATAATTCTTATTTTAATGATAATATCCTTCATATAAAAATTCCTAGGAATTCAATCTAGTAAAATTAAATTAAATAATAAAAAGGCTCAATAATGAGGATACCTCCACGTGGTTTGAGCTGGGCAATGTCACTCTTGTGATTCATTGGATAAATTTTGTAAGTCGGTGCGAGACAGATCTTACGTCAAAATTTCGACATTTTTTTTCGTTTTTGAAAGTGGATAGGGTGCTTTCTGTCGAAAAGTTGATGGCTCGTTTTAATCCTTCCATTTAAGTTAAAGGAGCAGTAAAATGAGCCATCAACTTCTTCATATAAAACATGGGAACAGGAGAAAAAAAAATCAACCAACCTGGGAAAAGAAAAAAAACTTGACGAGCAAATAAAAGTTACTGTATGATATTATATGAATATTTACAATTACTTTGTAGTTATCCTCCTTAATCGGTAAATTAACAATATTTGAAATTGAATAATATATTCTCTCTGAGATCCCCCTCTCCAATAACCAAGGGTTCCACTGCGTCAAATGACGCGTAAACAGAACAAAATTATGAGAATTATTGAAAAATGATTTGTATGTATAAGCCTATGTAGTTATCAATTTAAAATGAACTGAAAGGCAATACCAAAATGAAGAAATTCACATACTATCAAAGTACGACCTATCTTGCACTTGCTACTTCCTTTTCCGGCTACAAGTGGGCCCCAAAGCCGAAGCTATCTTTGGTAGTGAAGTTTCGGACTTCAAAACTACCTAAAAATGGTCAGTTCATACAAGTAAAGAATTGAAATTAAATCTTTATTCATCTCGGTAGTGTTTGATATGCAGAAGCGACATATCAGATGACCAAAAACCCTTTTGATGGTCAAGATTTATGCAGATATAATTTGACAGCACGTGAAAAAAGACCATTTACTTACCCATACAAACCTCAAAATAATGAAATCTTTCTTGAAAATTTGTCAGAATGTTTATGCAAATAAATGACATGTATAATCTAACAGACCATTTACAAGTAACTGTCATAATTGAACGTTGATGCTAGACTATGAAAAGGGGGGGGTTATTATGTTTATCTTTTGGAATTTAATGTTTTCGTGTAGATTTTTAAATTACCATGAAGCTGTGCTCAAAAGATGATGTTTATATACATGTTAGACTACTGATACAAATGATGTCTATTTTCTGCTGATTTTAGAGCACAGTCTGTGTATGCTTGTGTAAATAAAATGCTTTTTAATAATTGATGTATATGAAGGTTGAAGATAGTATTTAAAACGAAACACTCACTTATTTCAGGGTTTTGTGAAAGTTGTGAAGAACAAAGCTTATTTCAAGCGTTATCAAGTCAAGTTCAGAAGGAGGAGAGGTATGTATACCCGTTACTTTTTAAAAATTTAGAAATGCCAGTTATATATGTACACAAGGATTTAGAGGATTTAAAGATAAAACGTTTTTTAGCCATTTTAGGAAAAAAGGGCAAACAGAAAATGGAAAATGTCGAACAATTTTATGTATTTCCTGAAACAAGTTGACTGTAAATGTATCACTTATGTTCAACAGAGGGCAGGACAGATTTTTATGCAAGAAAACGCCTTGTTATCCAAGAGAAGAATAAATACAACACTCCTAAGTATAGAATGATTGTCAGATTTACCAACAAAGATATCATTTGTCAGGTATGTTATTTATAAAAATCATAGTTTTTTAAAAATATAAATCTTTTAGAAACAAACAATTATTGCTCCCCGAAAGCTTTGAAAAGGTTCCTTGTCAGGGATTTATCAAGGCTGTTTTTACTACCGGTAAACGGTACCTTTCCCCTCTTGAAAAAGGTGCAAAAATTCCCCTTTTTCAAATAGAAAATTCTCCGATTAAACGGAGAATATTTAAAATATCGTATCGTTTTTGTCCGATTGAATTTACCATCCTAGTCATTCAAACGCTTTTGAAAGAAAGAATAGAATATTCAAGCTTTTATTTGATATTGATCGGTAAACATGTGCCAAGTCCACTCAAGTCCATGATGTCGAAAGATACGAGTGCGATTGCAGAGTTAAAAAGAAAAGTGTAGATGAGTAAGATGGAGCTTATATCACTATGAATCGGAAGAATGGAGTAACAACAAAAACAATGTTAGTAGTGAAACATGATAAAAAAAACTGATTTGTGATAGATATTTAGAGAAAAAATTAAATAAAGTCTTGACCTGGTTAAATTTTTTTGTGTGTGTTATTTAGTATTTTGCCTAAAAAATGAAGTTTTTGTAGCCTTTGTAAAGGTCTATAAATGACCCTCAGAAGCTCTAAGAATGCAGGATTTTGCTCCATTTTTTAAAAAATTTTCCGGGGGGGGCATGCCCCCGGACCCCCCTAGAATACTCGCGCCTTCCGCGCTCAGATCGAGCCTGCGGCTCTCATATTTCCCCTTTACATATAAAACGGTAGTAAAACAAAATGGCTAGATAAATCCCTGCTTGTTGTCATAAATAATTATGGAAAACATTTAATTTCATCATTTCAACCAAATAAGGAGATCAGATTTATATGAAGCTTAATTTATTCCTGAAATGTGGTGGTGAACTTATTCCGTTTGAAAGAGCTTAAATGTCCCCCACACCCCAAAAAATACCATTACTGCTTTCATTTAACCAATTTAAAGCTTGAGTTCAATTTATAACCTGTCATTGCTACAAAACATGATAAATATTTAAATGAGAGGAACTATATTATAAACCTCTTCTGCCAGAAACTCATTTTGTGCAGTAAAATTCATTGGGTAAACTTGAAAATGAGCAAATTTGCCGCATTACCAAAATTCAGTAGAAGCATGAACGTAAACTGACCATAGAAAAAGAATGAAATGGATCATGATTTTGCAAATTCTATTTTACTGCAGTCTTCCAATTTTGCTGATTATAATTTCAAAATTGGTAGGGCTTTACATTTAAATGTGATTTAGGTTAATTATGGAGATGTAAAAAAAATGTAATGTATATAAACAAAAAATATATTTTCAGATAGCGTACGCTCGTATTGAAGGGGATATCATCATCTGTGCTGCCTATGCACATGAGCTTCCCCGATATGGCGTCAAGGTCGGGCTTACTAATTATGCAGCTGCATATTGTACAGGACTCCTGTTGGCCAGAAGAGTGAGTAGTCTTATGTGTGTTTGTTTGAAATGCTGGATTCAGTCTAAATCAATGTCTCTTTATCCATCTTCAAATTTGATTTTGACAACACATGATCAGTTATTCAAAATTATCTTGCCCATGTTTTCAGCTTCTGCAAAAACTGAAGTTGGATTCTATCTATGAAGGCCAGAAGGAAGTGGATGGAGAACAGTTCAATGTGGAGGATATTGATGACCAGCCAGGTGCCTTCAGGTGTTACCTGGATGTCGGCCTGGTTCGCACCACCACAGGTACTGAATGGTGTCAAAATAGCTTCAATGTGTGCTCTTAATCTTATGGCTCATCTCCACATATATCTGTAGAAGTTGTTCGTAAACAAATTTCAGCGTCTTGATGATGGTCGCTTGGTAGAGATTATAAGTATTTAGGTTTTCTCTGTTATATATACATTTCCAAATGTTTTCCCTTAGATTCTATTCAAATATGGATGATCCTGTATATTTACAGTCATGTTTAACATGATAGTCAGATACTGTACTTGACAACTTCAAAACTACATTGCAAAATTATCATTTGTGTAAAAAAAAAAAGATAATTTGAATGAATATTTAAAACTAGTCAATCAACATAGTCAAGTAGATATATGATACAAAGTAAAGTTTTTAACAAAATTCATTTGGTTCATGAACTAAACTCTTGACACATGTTCTCATGAATTTCATCTTCAGCATGCATGTTAATAGACTCAAAATCAAGAAAATATTTCCATTGTTTAGGTGCCCGTGTGTTTGGTGCCATGAAAGGAGCTGCTGATGGTGGTTTAGATATCCCTCACAGGTAACTCAAGTCTTGCTAATATATACTGCTTGAGATTGAGCCCCTAAATTGACATTTTCTGGTCCTTGAAGCAATGTTTCAAACTCTTAAAGGATATCTCGAACCTTTTTACAAATTGTGCAAGATGAAGAATGGCCATTTTAATTATTTTTTTATTTCCTCCCATAGTACCAAGAGATTCCCTGGGTATGACAGTGAGAGTGGGGAGTTCAGTGCCGAGGTGCACAGGAACCACATCTTTGGCCAGCACGTGGCCAACTACATGAGGAGCTTACAGGAGGAGGACGATGATGCTTACAAGAGACAGTTCTCCCAATTCATCAAAAATAAAATCACAGCCGACAGTGTAAGATTCATTTCTCTGAACTGATCTGTCTTATGGCAATTTGTCATACTGAATTTAAATGTTTCACCACTTAAAATCTAAATGCCTTATAGACACGACATATTACAAATTCCATTATTTTGGATTTAGCTGGAGGGTATGTACAAGAAATGTCATGCTGCTATTCGAGCTGACCCATCACCAAAAGCAAAGAAGGAAAAGAAAGATGTCAAGGTCAAGAGGTGAGGAATTGTTTATATTAAGAGAAAGTGGTAGGGAAGTGGTAGTCAATTCATTGAGAAATAGATTTTGAGGAATGGACAGCATTCAGAGTTGAAAGTGGGGGAGGAGTCAGTTTATTCAGAGATTAAAGTTGCAGATCCAAGACTATAAAATACAAAGAGAGATATAGGTTGGGGATGAATTAGTTGTAAGGAGTGACTTGATAGAAGAACTTTGTCTTTTTGTCCATTTATCGTAAGTTCTGAAAGGTACGATTTGGATTTTGGATACCAACACTAATGGAAATGGATATAAATCCCAAGGCTACTCATAAAATCATAGATTGTGTATGCACCTGATTAAAAAGTTGAAATAGAAACTTGATATTTCCGTATTTTATGCATCTTAAGTATTTTATGCATCTTAATTAAGTATTCCTTGTAAAAAGAAAAAAACGGTGAAATACATGTATTGATTTTAAAAAGTGATACAATTTGTCAATTTTATTTTCTCTTCAGATGGAATCGTGCCAAGATTTCCCTGAAACAGAGGAAGGACCGCATCAAACAGAAGAAGGCTTCATTCTTACAACAATTGGAGGAAGAGGACGACGAATAAACTTATATGGACTTGCATAAATAAAATCTGCTTGCCCAGTTTGTGTTGTGTCTTTAAAGGGCTTGGTATGTGTGACCCATTGGCTTCGACATACCAGTATTTGTGCCTCATGAGATCCTTGCCAACATGATCATATTGTGAGCTAGAGTTATTTTACCAAGTGATTTCTTTATTAGCTCAAATCACAGGAGTTCCCGTACCTATCAATTTTGCCGTAATTTTCGGTAAATAAAAAAGATACGTAATACCTATAAAAATAACACAAGGAGTGCAACCGTTGTCTGCAACGCCATGACGTGACGTCACGGGCGGTCCATTTACCCAAAAGGAACAAAAAAAACTATCATACACAGTTAGCTAGAAATAACGATATTACGTTTAGATACGAGTACAAGTACTTGTACCTCTCCGTTTTAAATTTTCTTGAATGTCTACTAACTTGTCTCTGGTTTCCTTACGCATATGAACTCGATCATCTAGATTAGCATTTCAGGCAGTTTTGTTCCTTTTTGGGTAAAGGGACGCCCCCGTGACGTCATGTCATGGCGTCGCGGACAATGGATATTTGAGTGAAGTTGTGGAGAAATGTCACCGCTGCTGCTGTAAAACATGCGTTTGAAATCATATGCATTAAGACCCATAAAGAATGGTCCCTTCCAAAAAGATTGGTTTGTGTTTTATAATTTTCGATTGAAGATTAATTGTGTGACAGCCTTGATATTAAGCGAGGGGTTCCCAGGTGACCAAAAATGCGTTGCACTCCTTGTGTTACTATTATTATAGGTATAACGTATTTTTTTAATTAACTGAAATTTTCGGTAAAATTGATAGGTACGCGAACTCCTGTGCTCAAGTGCTGTAAATCACTTTTTATTCGCGAGAACTTAATTTTCGCGTAATTACGCGAGACAGTGTGCTCGCGAAAATTTAATTCTCGTGTATAATAGCATTCCTTAAGATTATATAGAGCCATAACCACAATTCGTGAAAAATTTGTCTCGCTAATCAAGAGTCAATGACTATCTCGCGAAAATAAAGTGTCGCGAAAATTTAGTGATCTACAGTATATTCAGATTCAGAATGTATAATGCTGAGTAGTAGGGTTATAGATGAAAGAGAAGAAACAAGTTAATCATCAAAATGAGATGCATAATAGAGTGAGGGGTTATGGTTGAGGCTCGAGGGCATCCTTATCACAGGTGGGACTTTTATGATGTATAGCAAGTCTGAAATTGGCCAATTCAAACAAGATATTTTTGTGAACCTTTGATACACCTGTATGGCAACTCAAGGTTAGAATCAAAATGAAGGTTCAACTCCAAGGTCATAAGCCTAAGAATACATTCAGAAAATATTACCAAGGTTTCAGAATGTAAGTCCTACTCTAAGGTCAGTGTCATAGAGACAAAAAATAATAGTACCAAAGGAAAAATTATCTGAATGGTGCTACACAGTTTACACTTTTACCTCAATTGCAGATTGACCTACTTATTTTCAAAAAGCGCACTGTGTTTGAAACACTGATGTCCCAAAACGGTAGCTAATGGCGAGGGTTGAAGTTTCGCAGTGAAACTCTAGAGATCAAGGTTAAAATTGTTGATATCCAAAGGAAGGTCTTGTCACGTGAATACACCTGTGAAAAATGAAAGCATTAATGCAGACTAAGAGTGGGTAAAAGTCTTGGGCCAAAAGGTAAAATTTTTTATACCCATGGAAAGGTCTTGTCACAATGAATGCACATATAAAGTATGAGAGCCCTAGCACCAACTAATCAAAAGTCACGGCCAAGTTTAAAGCGTTGTAATTTTTTGTTCAAGTTGGTTGAATTCCAAGGTCAAATTGGGTGGTACTGAAGGAAGGTCGTCACAAAGGAACACACCTGTGAAATATAAATGCCATAGCCCCACACACTCCAAAGATGAACAAGGTTGAAGTTTTTGCAGACAGAAGGGGTAAAAAGTAGATACACCTCAATCTTCAATTACGGGGGCATAAAAACTAATCTTCGCATAAGTTTTGAATGGTTGGTGTTATGATTTTCATATTAAACAGGAATGAGGATGTGTTTGTGCAACACTGGCAGCTTATGGTGAGGGTTAAAAATTGGACTCCAAGGTCAAAATTGTTGGCATCAAAGGAGGGTCTTATAATAAACCAATGAAATATGAAAGCCCAAGTACTATTTAACTATTCAAAAATTTTGCCCAAGGTTCAAGTTTTTTGCTATCAAAAGGAAGTTCCTGTAATAAACCTGTGAAATATGAAAGCCTAAGTACTAACTATTCAAAAATTATACCAAAGGTTCAAGTTTTTATGAAAGTGGGTCAAACTCTTAGGTCAAAAGGTCAATTTTGGTACCCGAAAAAAGGCAATGTCACAAAGAATACATATATATGAAGTGTGAAAACCCTAACACTAATACACTTGTGAAGTGCGAAAGCCCTAGCACTAACTATTAAAAAGTTTAGGCCAAGATTGAAGTAAGCTGCAGATTTGTAGCTCGCTGGTCTAAAAAAAAGTTGGATGGACAACCCAGAGCTACAGAGCCACCCACTGGAAAAAGTTTATGTTTATCGCACGACAAAAAATATGCTGTTTCTTGATTTATATTTAAGTATAGATAATAAAATATTACAAACCTGTTCCTAACATATTCTTTTACTACTTCCACAATCTCCATAATATATGAAGCGGGTTGAACCGCATTGTCTTGTCACCATTCAAAAGTTATGGGTTCATACAAAAACAGCACTAGCTTTTCAAGAAAATGATGAAAAAAAATATTCTGAAATCACCCCATTTCTGATTTTATTAGAAGCACATAATCCTCGATCAAAATGTGGAAAAGATTGCATGTACACGAAAAAAACTAAACTGGACAACAATTTTTCTGATACACTGTACATTAAAACCTCATGCCAAATCTTGAAATCAAAGATTGAATCTGATTTCTTCATAATCATTATGATGTTTGTTGTTTAAGATTCTAATCCAAGTTCAGATGTATCTTTCATTTAATGTGTTCCATATGTTGAATGCTGTTAACTACCACTTAGTAACATGTATTGTTACATGTACTGATTTATTTTTATTAAAAATGATTTATAAGTTTTAAAAAATTCAATCCAGTTCTTTCTTTTTAACTATGAGGTCCCTGAACACTTTCTTGACAGTGACATAACCTTTGTCCACTAAGTACTTCTCCAGAAAATCAGCTCCTCCTGTGACATGCTGATACTCTACGTTCATTACGCTTATATCCACCTTGTTAAATGGCACCGTGTCTAAAATGGAAACCTCTGCTCCTTCTACATCTAAACTGAATACATCAATGTGCTTGATGTTTAAGGCCAACAGAATAGAATAGAATGGAAAACACTGTACTTGGATGGTTTTTGTTCCTGAAGTTTTTTCTAAATGTCCAATGGCCCAGTCCTCTTTGAACTTCAACTACAAAATATAAAACAATTGTTCCCATCTCTACGAATAAAGATCTAAATACATATTTCAAAAAATACAGTAAAACCTGTCTAGTCTGGACACCACTGATTCTATAGAAATTGGCTGGATTAGACAGTGTTTCGGATTAGACAATATTTTATCAAATTTACATCATATTACACAATACTTCGAAATACACAGTGACAATATCTGCATTAGACATGTTTCACTGTAAATCATTAATTCTCCTTGGCTATAAATTTTTTTTTGAACCAGCAAAATACAAGATGAATATATTTACCACGGCAGGGTGCTTAAAGGGGCTGAGACAAGCATTGATATAGTATGCCTTTCTGTTGGTCTTCAGAAGTTGTCTGTAGTTATTCCTATTGGGTTCTATTAATAACCCTGTCCACTTCCTCTTCAGCTCAAGGTAGAGAGTGTTTGATTGGAATTCTCCATCACAAGCTCCACACTCCACATAAAATCCACCTTCCTGTGAAAAAATAAATATCATTTACTTGTCTAACTTAACTTACTTATAATAATAAGGAATAAATATCTCTAACTACAGTTTCTCTCATTTTCATGTAATTAAGTCATAGTGGTTATGACAATTTTCTCATTTACAGTCAAACCTCATTTTCTTGAACCAGCTTGGACCAAAGATTCAAAATGTTGATGGTAACACTGCACTTTTTAGCTCACCTGAGCCGAAGGCTCAAGTGAGCTTTTCTGATCACATTTTGTCCGTCGTCCGTCCGTCTGTCTGTCCGTCTGTCCGTCTGTAAACTTTTCACATTTTCGACTTCTTCTCAAGAACCACTGGGCCAATTTTGACCAAACTTGGTACAAAGCATCCTTGGGTGAAGGGGAATTTAAATTGTTAAAATGAAGGGACATATCCCCTGGCAAGGGGAGATAATCAAGAAAAGACAAAAATAGGGTTGGGTCATTAAAAAATCTTCTTCTCAAGAACCACTGGGCCAGAAAAGCTGAATCTTATGTGGAAGCATCCTGGTATAGTGTAGATTCTAAATTGTTCAAATCATGACCCCCAGGGGAAGGGCGGGGCCACAATGGGGAATCAAAGTTTTATATAGAAATATATAGGAAAAATCTTTGAAAATCTTCTTCTCAAGAACCACTGGGCCAGAAAAGCTGAAACTCATCCTGGTGTAGTGTAGATTCTAAATTGTTCAAATCATGACCCCCGGGGGAAAGGCGGGGCCACAATGGGGAATCAAAGTTTTACATAGAAATATATAGGAAAAATCTTTGAAAATCTTCTTCTCAAGAACCACTGGGCCAGAAAAGCTGAAACTTATGTGGAAGCATCCTGGTATAATGTAGATTCTAAATTGTTCAAATAATGACCCCCGGGGGAAGGGTGGGGCCACAATAGGGAATCAAAGTTTTATATAGAAATATATAGGAAAAATCTTTGAAAATCTTCTTCTCAAGAACCACTGGGCCAGAAAAGCTGAAACTTACGTGGAAGCATCCTGGTGTAGTGTAGATTCTAAATTGTTCAAATCATAACCCCCGGGGGAAGGGCGGGGCCACAATGGGGTATCAAAGTTTTACATAGAAATATATAAGAAAAATCTTTGAAAATCTTCTTCTCAAGAACCACTGGGCCAGAAAAGCTGAAACTTATGTGGAAGCATCCTGGTATAATGTAGATTCTAAATTGTTCAAATAATGACCCTCGGGGGAAGGGCGGGGCCACAATCAAAGTTTTATATAGAAATGTATAGGAAAAATCTTCTCAAGAACCACTGGGCCAGAAAAAGTGAAGCTTATGTGGAAGCATTTTTGGGTATTGTTAAGTCTAAATTGTAGGAATCATGTTATAGGGAATCAAAGTTTTACATAGAAATATATAGGAAAAATCTTTGAAAATCTTCTTCTCAAGAACCACTGGGCCAAAAAAGCTGAAACATATGTGCCCATGGAAGGATCATGGGGTAGTGTAGATTTCAAAATGTCTTAATTATGATCAGTGGGGTAGGGTGGGGATGCATTATGTATAACAAGGGGGAAATCTGGTAAAGAACAGAATGGTCAAAGCTTCTCAGGTGAGCGATGTGGCCCATGGGCCTCTTGTTTATCTTACTTTATTTTTTAATGCCTTGTCGATGATGACTGACTGTCCGTGGGTGGAATAATCTGTTTTTCTGGCCTTGAATCTGTACGGCCCTGTGGGTGGGGGTCTGATCCAGTATCTACGTATCAGATCTATCAGATACGAATCGTCAGCCCTGGTCCCGTTATGACTTATTCTGGCTGTCTCCTTCTTGTAATCAGCAGGTGTAGGGAATGTTCTGTTAACTGTGCTCTGAGGAATGAATAATGGACTGTTGGGAGAGTATTCCTTTATCTTGGGGGGTCTGAGTGTTTCAAGAGGTTCGATTTGTGCTCTGTATGACACCAGGAAGAAGATCGTGGAAATTAAGATTGTCAAGAATCCAATGTATAAAGCCTTGAACTTTCTTGTATAAGATCCTTCTGAAAGAGAAACAAAATATGAAGCTGAAGCAAAACTGATAAAATCATACAGAGAGGAGGTCAAAATAAAGTGTAAGCTACATGTGTTACCCCAAATCTCTTATGCTTGCAGTTATGCACATCAAATTTTGAATTTTTTAAAACATTGTATAATTTACAGTGAAACTTGTCTAATCCTGATAATGGATAATTCAAAGACTTTGCTAAAATGATGTAAACGTCAAGTCATTTCAGTATTAACATGTTTTTTTTTTTAAATGTTGTATAATTAATTTGTGAACAGATTCGAGAAGTTTTACTGTACTTACCTAGAAAACAGCTCTCGGGCTTCATGTTTTTATCCTGCTATGTCAAGACAATGCCTGAAATAGATGTTAAAAAATTGCAATTAATTCTATAACTACCATTGATGTACCCTTTCTGTACCTGCCATTGGAGGCCATTATTGCAAAATAAGGAATATAGTCAATATACATTATACACTGCTTTTATCCAGTAATTATATAAATGAACATGCAAATCTCTATTGGCCGGTACACATCTTCAATTTAATGTCCTTCTGAAAAAGTACATGTAAGCAATTTACCTGTATGCTTGGATCTAGAGGGGGGTTGGGGTGAGGTTATCTGGAATTTGCAGAGTTATCAAATGTATATATTATATATATATTACACCAGCTAAAAGTGACTTTTGACCCCACCTGGAAAACGTGGATCTGTGTTAATCATGTTAATTAAGTAAAATTGTCTGAAAAATCATACTAGGTATGAAGATTTAGAAGTCAAAAGTAATCCCCTGGCTTCTCTATATGGGAAGAGAGAGAGAATTTGAAGAATTTTCCCATTATTTGACATGGGGGTAAAAAAGGTTGCATAGTGTACGTAGTATTTGTGATAAAGGAGAGGTTAGTATTTCCCTTTAATCCGTTAAGCTTTTTTATAACAAATGTCAAGAAATCCATCCGGATGCTCCGACTCCTAACCCACCCCTTTTCCCGCTTTCATAGGTGGGATTTCATTTGTCATACCGGCGTACACCGAATGCGCCGCTTGACCTTTCGTAACCCGGCTTGTTACGGGTGTTGCTAAAACGCGGAACGGAAAACGGAACGGAAAGCGGAACGGAACGGAAAACGGAAAAATTTTGTCAAAAAAAATAACATAGATTCGATTAAAATCAGATAAAAGAGCAATATTCTTGTTGTAAAAGTCATTTCTAAAAATTATTGTAAACTATTACAGTGGAGCCTCATTTATCCGGACGCTTTGGTTCCCAGTTAATTTGTCCGGATATGTGAAGCGTCCGGATATCTGAATTACCAGTTAAACAAGATAAATAAGGTTTTAAAAATTCTGTTCCGATGAAAAGTCGTCCGGATACTGAAGCATCCGGATATCTGGCGTCAGGATATCTGAAGGTCCACTGTATATATTCATGAGTCATACTACAAACCCTTCGTGGTACTGAAAGAAATCCCCCCCCCCCCCCCCACACACACACACAAATACACATATAAAAATAGGATTTTCGTGTTTGGGCAAAGGACATATCCCCCTTTTTTGCTTGTCAAATTTTTTGTATGTTGGAAATTTTTTACTGATCCCCCCCCCCCCCCCACACACACACACACACACCCTCACACACCCTCTTTCTATTTGTTCCAATGTCAATGTCTGTAAAGATATTCAGATTTATGCAAGCAGTGTCGAATTCGCGAATCATGAAAGGGTGAGTGGCAGTTTCGGGTCCGTGTTGGGGCCCACAGCCACATTAAAAATTGCTTTATTAAACCTTATGTATATTTTGGACACAAAAGGGCGGGCAGACCTATTACAACTTCTCAGACCTTTCCGATGAGCGGGAAAACAAACTCATTTTTTACAGGTTCATTCATATACACCTCCCCCCAAACATACACACATGTGTACCGCAAACAAATAAAATCTTAACAACCAGTGTGTATAAGAGATGTTTATTCGAGCTTGCCGTAAAGGTTTTCACTAAACGTAAACTTGATATTTTTTTTTTTACATTTTATTTCTCTTTCCATGGTTCATCTAGATATCAAATACTTGCTACGCCCAGTCAAAACCTTTTTACTACGGACATGTTTGTTCAAGTTCACATCCTCACACTTTTTGTGAATGTTAATAACGAAGTCAGTTAGTGTAAAAAAAATAGTACTGAAAGATGTTGGAGTTGGAAATCCCCCCCTCCCGAATCAAACAATTGGTGTTTTTTTATGTGTTTTATCCCCTCACGAATCAAACAATTGTCTTATTTTTATTTTTATTTATTTATTTTTTTTTTTTTTTGCTTGTCAAATACTTTTCAAGTTCTTTTCTCCCCCCTTTTCAAATTCGATTCAGGTGACTGCTATGTTAGCGATTTTCGTAAATAAGCGACTGAGCATGACAAAATCAACTTGTATTATTATCTATCACGTTTATGATAAAATTTATGTACAAGTGATTTAATATTATATTCCGTTGACGTTCTTCGTTCATACTTTAGGCAGGATACTGATTTAATATCCATTCTTTATAAATGCAAAAATGTCAATTTCTTACATCGATATGCTTTATTTGTTTGCATTTGTCTCTATTCCTGAAAAATAAAATTTTGTGTGTTGTTTTTTTTAAAAATTGAATTTCCCGTAAAAAGTGATAAAACTTTATTAATTGATTATCATTTAGCGTAATTATTCATTATTAAAAAAAATGTTTTCGCCGGTTTACTTCACTTGCCTCTTAGCCGTTTTACGCCGGTCATATAACCGGCGCAATTCGACGTACGCCGATCAGTGACAATGAAATTGGCCAATATTTCTACGTGTAGAGGAATTTCGGATTAACTTCCTCATTTTGTGTACACACACCAACTGGATTTTACTGCATTCGTTTAATTTAAAACAGACCTCTGTCAATGAGTAGAATCTAGCGATTTTCTCCTTGAGATGCAGATTTCACATTAAACCCGTGGATATTGGATCAGAATGCACCTTTTACCGGCATTGAGGTGTAAGGCCTACCTTCTGTTGCCGCAACACCAGGCTCACCTGGCAAGTGCGAGCGGTTCCTTGGATATTCGCTCACTAATGTTTCGACCTCGGTTGTAAATTCATGGCTTCAGCCAAAATAACAACATTTAGAACTTGGAACTAAAACTTTTAAATTAATAAAATACAGATAATAATTTTAGACTATTATTAAGTTCAGCCACGTAGCAGGGTGCGTCGATTTACCCAAATGGACCCAAATGGAACCCAAATGGACCCAAATGGAAACTCAAATGGACCCAAATGGAATAATATGAAATATATATATTATATCGTATTCTCAAGTTTTTACTTATTTAAAATATAGAAAATAATGAAATTAAAACAAAAAGAGAATATTTTAATATCATTATTTTCTTCAATTGTATTTTTAAAAATGCGATTTAATTCTATTTGTAATAACTACTGAACATACTTAAATACAAAACTGAAGTATTTGATATTTTTTATGGCCGTAGGAACGGATGGGGGGGGGGGGGTGGAGGGGGGGGGGGGGGGGGCCATGCCAACCCACAACCCACCCACCCCCGCCCCTAACCCAAATAATTTTGCCGGTATATAGAATACTATCAAAACTTCATGCTTCAAAATACAATATTAGAGATTAATAATTTTAAAAAAAAATCCATTTGTAACTGTAAGTTCATTATTTTCATCATTTTAAATAAGTATTAAAATACGATAATACATGTTTAATATTCCATTTGATTTCCATTTGGGTCCATTTGTGTTTCCATTTGGGTCCATTTGTTTCCATTTGGGTTCCATTTGGGTCCATTTGGGTAAATCGACGCGCCGACGTAGCATCGTTTTTGAAAGAGGGGGGGGGAGCCAGAGAATTTTTTTTTTACTTAATTGAAAAAGTTTCGTGGGGTGTGGGGGTAAGGGTCAACTTTTTTCAATGCTAACTTCTTTCAATACCAATTTTTTTTATATTCAGCGCTACATTTCCCTTATATCAATTTCCTATGGTACATGTATAAAGTGTGTGTGTGTGTGGGGGGGGGGGGGGGGGCAACCAGCCATTCACTGAACATTTCCAATAGTAAAAGTAATGTTGGGAAAAAAAGGGGGGGCAGCCCCCCCCCCCCCCCTTTGCTATTTGCCTGATGATGAATGTTATCTAAATAAGGCAAATATCACATAAATTTATTGAAGAGTTTTACCCAGTCCATCTGTCTGATTATAATTATCTGCAAAACTTTAACCTTGCCTATAACTTTTGAATGGGTGGGGGTATGGCTTTTATTTTTCATAGGTAATTAAGTAATTAATGTGACAACACCTGTCTTTGGATACCACCAAATTTGACCACTTGACCTTCGAGTTTTATGTTCCACTTTTACCAAAAAGTTGAATCTTTAACCTTGGCCATAACTTTTGAACAGTTGGTGCTAGGGGTTTTGCACATCATATGATTGTATATTCATTGTGACAAGACCTTTCAATTAGTATAATTGAGGAATGTTTTTAAGTTTTGTGTAAGTTATTGGTGTGTGAATCACACACACTTGTCAAGTAGGCATATATCATGAAGCGCGCTATATAGACCCTTTTCCTATGACATATTTTGTCTAGGAGTTATTCCCCTTAGCCGCCATATTGTAGGGCAACATATCCAGTTCCCTTCATTATTCAAGTCAGTTCAATTTGTTATCCTGGTTAATGAGGTAAAGATAACACTATTTTTCTTATGAATATATGTTTGTCAAGGCTTCTATTAATTCATGATTTTAAAATTGTAAATATTTTCCAACATATATTTCTTGCATGCATATTAAAAATTGGTTGCTCAAAGAGGTAAATTCACTACTTTGCCCTACAAGAAGGCGGAGAATAACTCCTAGGCAAAATATTTTATAGGAAAAGGGTCTATAGGCCTCTACATTTTGCAAGTTTGGAAGCAACTAAAATATACTCAATATTTGAATTTCTCGCTGCCCTATTGCATTTATACTAACGTCACTGCAGCTTTATTATGACGTCACGTTACCGCACGTCTCTCCATGTATATTTCTACGCATGAGTATACACAAAATGGGTTTTCAAATCAATTTCACAGTTGGCTTAGTAGAAAAACACAGCGAATGTATAAAATATAAACTTTTGAACTTGACCATATATAGAGTTTGACTTCCTTTAAAAAAAATTTAACCTTGACCATAACTTTCGAAGTAAACAAAATATTACTAAGGCTTTCATATTTCACAAGTGTATTTCTTGTGACTAGACCTTAATTACTTTTGATATAAACAATTTTGACCTTTAAATTTGACCTTGACCTTTGGAGTTTGACTTGCAACTCTTTGAACCAAACTTTTTGGACCAGGCTTGTATCCTGCATCTGATGCAGAACTGGTAGTGTCCTTACGTATAAGATACCTCATCCACACTAGTTTGGTTGAAAATGCACAAGTCAGTATCAGGTTGGGTTGTGTACATCCCTCAATGCATACATCATTCATGCAAGTTTGGTCTATCCCAAGTATATGTAGGCCTTATACAGCTGTAGTTGGGGTATTTCTGAAAGGACCTGGTCCAAAAAAGTTTGGTTCAAAGAGTTACATGTACTAAGGTACTAAGAATCAAGTCTCTGTGCAAAGGATTGAATACCGGTATACCAGTACTGACAACAATTTCAAATACATGCAGGTGTATTTATATTTGTTTTTATTAATTGTAAACAATTTGAACTGCAAATGCATGTTCTTTTTAAATACAATAATATAGGAAGAATAACAGAGTAGAAATAAATTTTAAAATTTATATTGCAACAAGAAATTCATACAAAAAATATAAATATAATACATATATTTCTTTTCTACATGTTCTAATTGCACAATCCCTGTACCTTGAATACAGTCCACCTCTTGTCTATAATGACACATTTTGAACAACTAATTTTTCACAACTGTCCTTTATACAATGTAATTGTGTTGTTTTTGGTCCGTCACTGAGCAGACTCTGTACCTCCCTTCAGTTCTGGACAGATTTCCAACAGAAAAACCTCCAAAAGACCCTGAGAACAAAAGTAATACAGTATTAGGTATTACATGTTGATAAAGATATTATTATTTGTTGTACTAACTCTTAGCACTTATTTGGTATTTAGTTACAATTCATATTGTTTTATTCTTCCCCTTCTATAATAAATGTTCTATTTAAAGCAGGAAAATTTTAAAATATTGTCTTTTTTTCTTCCTCTTCTATCCTTAAGGTTCTATGCACTGGCAGGAAAATAATATAATTACTGGGTATAGATTCTCATCATCAACAAATATGTCAAATACTTACATAAAAGAGGTGTTTGTTGAGTCTTGTGTCTTGTAAAACCTCGAACATTTTGATAGCCCCTCTTCTACCATTCTCCTCTCCTAAAAGTGTCCTGACTGCATCTGAAAGTGGAAAAAATTCTCATTATTTTCAGAAATACCGGGTAAATAAACTTCTCCAAAATAGCACAATGTAATTTTTAACAACAATATGTATACTCTGATATTGAAAGAGATCAATTTACCTGGCATGTTGTTTAAGAACTTCTCCTTGGCTTCTAGCCTTGTTTGTAATTTTTGGAGATCTGTCTTTGGGGTTGGAGGTTCAGCTAGCTTGCCATTGGGCCACATGGAGTTCTTAAACAAAGTGATGTAGTAAATGATCATGCTCTCAGAAAATACCCAGTCCACTGTTTCTCGCAGTTGTCTACAAAGTAATGTGCCAATTTGTATCTCCAATATTTGCATTACATGTATTTGTAAAGCCAATCACCCTGAAAAATTCCTGTGTGTGTGAGTATAGTGGTGAAATGTGTCATCTATCACTAATATCAAGCCTACTTTATTAACCAACTAACTCTTATGAAAGTAAATTTGAACAAGAGGCCCATGGGCCACATCGCTCACCTGAGAAGCTTTGACCATTCTGTTCTTTACCAGATTTCACCCTTGTTATACATAATGCATCCCCACATTACCCCACTGATCATAATTTAGACATTTTGAAATCTACACTACCCCATGATCCTTCCATTGGCACATATGTTTCAGCTTTTTTGGCCCAGTGGTTCCTGAGAAGAAGATTTTCAAAGATTTTTCCTATATATTTCTATGTAAAACTTTGATTCCCTATAATGGCCCCGCCCTTCCATCGGGGGTCATGATTCCTACAATTTAGAATTTACACTATACCAGAATGCTTTAACATAAGTTTCAGCTTTTCTGGCACAGTGGTTCTTGAGAAGAAGATTTTCAAAGATTTTTCCTATACATTTCTATATAAAACTTTGATTCCCCATTGTGGCCCCGCCCTTCCCCCGGGTGTCATTATTTGAACAATTTAGAATCTACACTATACCAGGATGCTTCCACATAAGTTTCAGCTTTTCTGGCCCAGTGGTTCTTTGAGAAGAAGATTTTCGAAGATTTTTCCTATATATTTCTATGTAAAACTTTGATTCCCCATTGTGGCCCCGCCCTTCCCCCGGGGGTCATGATTTGAACAATTTAGAATCTACACTATACCAGGATGCTTCCATATAAGTTTCAGCTTTTCTGGCCCAGTGGTTCTTGAGAAGAAGATTTTCAAAGATTTTTCCTATATATTTCTATATAAAACTTTGATTCCCCATTGTGGCCCCGCCCTTCCCCCGGGGGTCATGATTTGAACAATTTAGAATCTACACTATACCAGGATGCTTCCACATAAGTTTCAGCTTTTCTGGCCCAGTGGTTCTTGAGAAGAAGATTTTCAAAGATTTTTCCTACACATTTCTATATAAAACTTTGATTCCCCATTGTGGCCCCGCCCTTTCCCCGGGGGTCATAATTTGAACAATTTAGAATCTACACTATACCAGGATGCTTCCATATAAGTTTCAGCTTTTCTGGCCCAGTGGTTCTTGAGAAGAAGATTTTCAAAGATTTTTCCTATATATTTCTATATAAAACTTTGATTCCCCATTGTGGCCCCGCCCTTCCCCCGGGGGTCATGATTTGAACAATTTAGAATCTACACTATACCAGGATGCTTCCACATAAGTTTCAGCTTTTCTGGCCCAGTGGTTCTTGAGGAGAAGATTTTCAAAGATTTTTCCTATATATTTCTATATAAAACTTTGATTCCCCATTGTGGCCCCGCCCTTCCCCCGGGGGTCATGATTTGAACAATTTAGAATCTACACTATACCAGGATGCTTCCACATAAGTTTCAGCTTTACTGGCCCAGTGGTTCTTGAGAAGAAGATTTTTTAATGACCCCACCCTATTTTTGTCTTTTTTTGATTATCTCCTCTTGCGAGGGGATATGTCCCTTCATTTTAACAATTTAAATTCCCCTTTACCCAAGGATGCTTTGTACCAAGTTTGGTCAAAATTGGCCCAGTGGTTCTTGAGAAGAAGTCGAAAATGTGAAAAGTTTACAGACGGACAGACAGACGGACAGACAGACGGACAGACGGACGGACGACGGACAAAATGTGATCAGAAAAGCTCACTTGAGCCTTCGGCTCAGGTGAGCTAAAAACTAGCAAATTTCACACATGTAACTTTAAAGTTTAAAATCCAAGTCAAAATCCAATGTTTCTTGAACCTAAATGGTGCAAACATCTGCCATTGAGAAATACAGAATTTAATCAATGTACCCACCTGTTTATAGATCTTCCAAAGGTGACTTCTACAAACATGATGAAGCTGCGTCTCAGCCATTTAAACATTCCGTGACACTCAAACACCTCGTCCACAAGTCTGTAGAAGGGCTCGGCAATCGAGTCCTTCCTGTCCAACTTGGAACTGAATGGGAGAAAAAAGTCACACTAAAAAATCATCTTGGATGCAATATTTTGAGATGTTTTTAATTACTGAATTTGAGTGACTAGTTGCCATAATTTGAGAGATGTCGTATGTGGCATCAAGCACTGGGCGAGTCACCCAGTGCTTGATGCCACATACAACATCTCTCACGTGGTATGTGACCGTGACTCATGTAATATTTTATTCCCTATATTTTTTACTTTGAATCATAAACTTAACATTAAGTAGTGAGAAATGCTCAATAGATGCTAATGATTTCAGGATTTATAACTTTGAAGGAATGTGTCAGAAAATTAAATGATGCAATCTAGATTCATCAGTAAATAGGTGTTCATTTTCTGTGCAAGTATTCATATATGTCCTCTTTAAAGTCAAATGGTTATGAAATTACTAGAAAGCAACACATTTTTACATGAATGTGCATACTGTTCAAGCTATATCAGATGTTAGATTTAGAAAGTACAAGTACCTGGATAAAATTTGAAAGGCATGTATATTGTATATACACTGTAGTGTAAAAATAATGATACAGTACTTTTAAACACACCGGTTTAAAGTTTGCATTTTTTTTTTCTTAGGCAGTCTTTTTCACCATTCACAGTGAAATAACTTCTGAAATAACTTGTACATAAAATGTAGAAATCTCTTCATAAATGAGGAACCATTTTTCAATTTCATTTTTCCCCCGAGGGGGAATATGATTTTTCTTGGCTGAATAAGTCTTCATGTTACCTGAACATTCATGCAATGAATTGTTTATTATACCGAAACAAGCAAAACCTTTGAAATAAACATAAACTTTCAAATTCAGCACTGCTCTCAAATTCACTTTTATTTTTTTACGTAAGGTTATTATAAAACCCTTTGATCAACACATTAACATCAGTTTTGTGACGTAAACCAGGCTATTGTGACGTCTACTTCTCTCGGGAGTTTTCGTTCAACGAACGAGAACTATATTGCGGGAAAATACCCTTGGTGTTCCGAAGAGGTGGAATATGATGAAAAGCGTGCTGACGACCGGGAAATATGAAGTTTTACATCCCGATCACGTGATAACTTAGAACCAATCAGATAAAGCGTTGTTTAGAATATTTATAATGAGGTATAATAATATACATTTATTGCATGATAGTGAGGGAAATATGAAGACTTATTCAGCCAAGAAAAATCATATTCCCTGGGGGCTTCGCCCGAGGGGAATATGATATTTCTTGGCTGAATAAGTCTTCATGTTTCCCGAACATTCATGCAATGAATTGTTTATTATACCGAAACAAGCAAAACCTTTGAAATAAACAAACTTCTCTCAAATTCATTTTCATTTTTTACGTAAAGTTTCTATAAAACCTTTTGTTCAACACATTAATATCATCAGTTTTGTGACGTAAACCAGGCTATTGTGACGTCTACTTCTCTCGGGAGTTTTCGTTCAACGAACAAGAACTATATTGCGGGAAAATACACTAGGTGTTCCGAAGAGGTGGAATATGATGAAAAGCGTGCCGACGACCGGGAAATATGAAGTTTTACGGCCCGATCATGTGATAACTTAGAACCAATCAGATAACGCGTTGTATAGAATATTTATAATGAGGTATAATAATAAACATTACAGTACAGACATGACTTTACAGTCTGCAGTCAGAGACAGCACACTGATCCCTACCCATCATCTTCTTCATCCACCAGTTTTAGTTCGTCTTCGTTCACTTGTTTGTACTGACCAATTGGCAAGCTACAGTGTGATAGAAAATCTACCTAATAATATATCACATGCCAAATATAAATATATATTTGAAAAATGAGAGTGCAAACTAAGGAGATGCTAAATCTTTTTTAAAAAGATAAAATGTACAGTCTATTCTTGTTATCTCAAACGAGAAAGCAAAGTTAAAGTGAATTTTAAAATAGAAAGTAGGAATTGGATCAAGTTAATGGTTAGGTTACAGATTTCATTGTAAATACTGTCCATTATTAGTAAATACAGGATACATGGGATATTGAACTGTTGAACATTTCAATTGTCAATTCTAACTTGACTCAGATTCATTTATAATGATAAGTCAGAGATATACTGACCTTTTAATAATGGAGGTGATGAAGAACTCTTTCTTTTTCTCTGGTTTCCTGTGCATGAAGAATTCCGGTGTAGGCGTCAGAAAGCCGTAGAGAGCCTCACTCTGGGCCATCATTCCGTCCTTCATTACAGCCTAAAAATAGAAATGTGATGTCAGTACAGTATATTAGTAGGCTCCAGGACCAAAAATCAAAATCCCTCAAAGATTGCTTCAAGATAATATAATTGTCACTGGGTTCACATGTGTGTGAAATTCAGTCAATATATCGGGTCTCAATAGCTCAGTTGGTTAGAGTGCTGGGACGGTTACCAAGAAGCCCTGGGTTCGAGTCCCGACCTGACTTTTCACCACCTGTGACATATTATCTTGAAGCAATCTTTGAAATTCTAAATGTCACCAGTGTATAAAATAAAACTACCACAAATTAAGAGAAAATGATCAATAAATCATTTAGACTCTAGTAAAGGGTCACACTCACACTGAGATAATCATTCAGTATTCTCTTACACTCGGTCAAGAATTTGTCGTCCAGGGTCGTGAATCGCCGCACAGATGGAAGTTCTTTCTTCTTCAACCAAGGTCCAATCTGTAAAGACATAAATCAAGAAAAATATATGTTTATGGAAAAAACATTGTCATTTTAGACCAAGCAGAGAGTGAGTGAGAGAGAAAATACGAGAGAAAGAAAGACAGATAAAGATTTCAAGTTTCTCAAAGTATCATCCACTAGTATAACTCACCTCTGTGAGTTTCTCGTGGAGCCTGTTGAAATCTGGGATAGTTCTGGTGACTAGCCAGCCCTCGGCACTGTGTTGGAGATTGTAGGACTTTTCCTGTCCGGTCAGATGTACAATCAAAACAAAGGTAGGGATCCTCTTATCATCCTCCTCAACAATCTGTGTGGGATAAACCAAAAATAGAGAAGATGTAGGAATAAACAAATCAGAAATCCTTAATACAAGTACATTGCTTTTACATATTTTAACCTAAAACAATATACAAATTGAGTACAGTAAACAAAATACAACTTAATTCTATTTACAATATGTGTTAAATACTTCTTTTGCCATGGATATTCCCTACAAGTACAGTGTACTCTATATCATGCCACTGGTATTTGTATATACGTACACTGTATGTAAACTTGTGTCCAGTGTAACACTAGTCTATTTATTCGTCCATGATTAAGCTTTTGAATGAAGAGTACAGTCTGAACCACTGTACTACAATACCCTACACCCCCTGACCTGGGCTTCGTAGATCGTGGCCCTCCAGGAGCCCTGGTTCTCACACCACTTCTGAGTTCTCAGGATGTGGATCTCTAGCTGCCTCCTCTGTAGGATCAACTGCTCCAACTCCCCCTCCAAGTCCTTCTCTATCTTCTCTGTCTTCATACAAGATAGAAAAAAATATGATGTAAGGATAATACTTTAAACTTTTCATATACTGTACATGTACATTTCATGAGAAATGAGGTCTTCTGAAAGAACTTGTTTGTGAATACTGAAGTTTAAACACCACGTTCTCATACTATACTTCAAAGCAGGGTGCAAAAATCCTGCTCTTCATGAATATTATAACAGTGAGTGTTTAAAACAAGATGTGTTTGTGAAACACTATGCGCCCGGTGGTAACAAAGTTCAAAAACACTATTTTTTGCAGATAAGTCACAGTCAAGGCCACAAGGTCATCGACCTTGGTGTCATTTGAAAGAACTTTATTAGTAAAGTATGCATACCAAATATGAAGTACCTATCTGTCATGGTTCAAAAGTTATGGCGAAAAGTCTAAAAAGCTATTTTTAGCATATAGGTCACAGTCAAGGTCACAAGGTCATGACCTTGATGTCATTTGAAAGAGCTTTATTAGTAGAGTATGCATATCAATTATGAAGTCTCTATCTCTCATGTTTCAAAAGTTATGGCGAAAGTTCAAAAAAAACTATTTTTAGCATATAGGTCACAGTCAAGGTCACAAGGTCATTGACCTTGGTGCCATTTGAAAGAGCTTCATTGGTCGAATATGCATACCAAATACGAAGTCTATCTCTCATGCTTCAAAAGTTATGGCGAAGGTTAAAGTTGACAACAGACAGACAGACAGACAAACAGACAAACAGACAAACAGATAAACAGACAAACAGATAAACAGACAAACAGACAAACAGACAGGACAAAAACAATATACGCCTCGGATCTATCGATCCGGGCGCATAAAAATAAATTTTGAGTAAAAAATTCTTTTTTTTGACTCATTAGTCTGATAAAAGAAACTAGAACTGTCCAAACGGGACAAAATACCCCCGCTGGATTCTGCAGAGATAAGTTTTTCCATGATAAAGATATGTATCAAACATGAATCATACAATATTTCTTCCAGTGACCTTGAACTTGCACAGATGACCTTGGGTCAAAGTCATGACACACACATAGGTCATGAGGTATCTTTGTGTGAAATGAGAACATACCAAGTTTATCCATAAGAAAGATATGGACCGGAGACAAATTATGAAATTTTTCTTCCAGTGACCTTGAACTTCCCCAAATGACCTTAAGTCAAGGTCATGACAAACCCTTGGGTCATGGGCAATCTTTGTGTGAAATGAGAACCTACCAAGTTTATCCATAAGAAAGATATGGGCAGGACACGAATTATGAAATTTTTCTTCTAATGACCTTGAACTTCCCCAAATGACTTTGGGTCAAGGTCATGACACACCTTTGGGTCATGGGCAATCTTTGTGTGGAGTAGTAGATTCTAATGTTCCTCCGTTAGAAAGATATGGACCGGACACGTTTGCACAGACAGACGGACAGACAGCTAGATGGACGGACGGACAGACAGACAGACGGACAAGGTGATTCCTATATACCCCCCCAAACTTCGTTTGCGGGGGGTATAATAAAATTGAATATCTTTCACAAATATCTATAGTATAAATATATACATGAAATTATAAAATTGTACATTGTTTTAGTCTCAAACCTTCACATCATCCATTTTCCGTGATTCTCTGATGGCTTTTAGTGCATGGCTCTTGTTCTGGATTTTCCCATCCAGCTGCTCCAGTTTCTGCTGAGCAAAGTAAGACTGATCCTTAAAAATAACACTGTCATCACTGTTAAAGTCCATGTAGACCTCCTCCTCATCACTGTCTGGCTGGAAGAACAGTAAATCTACAAAAGAACAGTAAATCTACAAAAGAACAGTAAATCTACAAAAGAACAGTAAATCTGGAAAAGAATGAAGAAATCTACTAAAAGAATAATCAATCAACAAAAGAATATTGTATCTACAAAATGTTAATACCCTCTGTCAAAATCAGAGTAATGCCTAAGGCACCATAAATCCATTTTTAAAGATTTTTTGTGAGGCTATAACATTCAGATATTCAGAGATAACTTGGCATGTTCTGTATATAAAGTGGAATTTTGATATCTCAAACAAATATATCTTGAATATGACAACTATGTTGAACTGATTTTGAAATCCCAACTATTTTTTCTTTTAGTATCTTCAAATTGAAGATACCTCAAAGTCTTAGGCCCAAAAAAATTAATAAATTGTTTCTCAGGCCAAAAAATTCAAAATACAATGAGGCAGGCAGGCTTTTTTTTTTGAAGCAGGTTTAACACTTTTTTAAAGCCATTTGTTCAATAAAATGGTAATGTCTACTACTTCTTAATTTTTGTTCTCTGAAATTAGTTATAATATGTATTCAACTTTAAATAATGTTATTCCAAACATTATTTTAAAAATTAATTCATAAAATTCTGTAAATCTAGAAGAAATATAATGTTTTTTTAATAAAAACGTCTATCTTAGCTTTTATTAAAAGGGGAATAACTCGATTTTCTTTTTCAACTTGGAAAAATACAGTTATTTTCCTTTTCAATATGTCAATAAAATTGATCAATGCGGCCGTTTTTAAACTGATGCGGCGGTGCCTGAGAAACTATTGATTAATTTTTTTTGGCCTTATCAACTTCAAGATAATGAAGTTTGACTGTGTACTTTTATGCACAAGCCAGTTGTATACCTTTCCTTTGTTCTGTGAGATCAGCTGGGGTATCTTGTTCTAAGGACTTCATATACTTATGGTAAATATCACTGACAAGAAATGATGGATAGTACTGCTTCTTCAAGATGTCCAAGACAGTCTTCTCTCCCCTCTCAAATGCTCCATAGTCCTACAATATACATGTAAGACTGTACACAAATAAAATTGTACTTTTCCCTTAAATTCTATACAGTCATAACCTACATGGGAATGTGCATTATCAGAAATGTATACATATGTCATTGACTGGTTAGCAAAACTTTATTTTTCTATGATTAATGGTACATATATTGTAAAAAGCCTTAGGTTTATCACTCAGCTACCGGGTATGTGCAATTGCTTAAAGCTCCAAGAAAAATGATCAACAACTGAACTTTTCTTTCCCATCAAAAAGGATGGACTTCAGATTAAATTAATAGTAAACAGGAATCTGCCCTATGTAACTTAATAGACAACTTACAGGTGAGTTCCCCAGTAAGAACGCCTCCATGTCTTTCACGGTTCCCCTGTCCAGCTTGACCGCACTCGTACTACTGGCGATGTATTTGTCAAATATCTCCTTACCCAACTGATACTGCTTCCTCTGAAAGGATAGAAATTAATGTCTTAAAAAATGAATTTTTTACAATAGATTGAATAGTCCATCAATTTTATTATGATTTATTGAGGTGTTATTTTTATAGATTTATGTACTTTTCATAATCTTGTTATTCTTACCTTTTCAGCAGTCTCAAGTCTTTCTACAGCCATGCAAAATCTAGTAATAATCAAAATGGAAATAACTGGTTGTTGTTTTTTTTAAATATTGGTCCAATAAAACAACATACATACTTTAAATCATACAGTAACAAACTGCAAAAGATACGCTGTAGTGTTATTCCCAAGAAAATTGGTAAACACTTCAATCACTGAATCTAACATGATTTTTTTATCTTGTTACACAACTTCAAATGTTTAAGTTTCCTTATATTTATTCAATTTACCCAAGCAAGGAATGGTTGTCATCTTTTTCTAAAAATTTGTAAAATTCCATTTTAGCTTCCACTGAATCCATCACTTCTTCAAAGGACAAAATCTGCACAAATAAAAAGAAAATTGTTTTGTATTCTATTAAACTTTTTAAAAATTTTCTATAATTTGCAACACACATATATAGTGTATGTATTGATATGTGCATAAGATCAAACTTGAAGATGCTGGTGTTGTGATGATGTAGGAATTTTTTTATATCCACGAAGATATTTTTTTAAGGGGGGGGGTTGCTAACATCCCTGCAATCATTGACCAGTACCTTTGTACTCTTTGTGACCATTCCCTCTGGGTCCTCTGTTGTTTCATAGCTCTTGTAATCTGGTCCCCCTAAGGCATGTATTCTCTTCTCACTGTGAACTTTGGCAATAGTCAGCTATAAGAAAAAGGAAGAAATCCCAGAGATTCGATCAACCTGAGCTATGAGATTTGTCAATCTATAAAAATGTTTTATTAAACACCAATCAGCAAAAATTTATGCACACAAAATGACTACCTGATTTATGTATCTCTTCAGATTTCTAGCTTTTAGAAGATCCCCTTTACCCATGGCTCGAGATGGTCCTTTCTCACCAGGTTTCAATGGTTTTTCTGTCAGAACAAGAATATTACTGTATCATGTACGAGACTCATGCACAATAGATGTGAAGAATTTTTCAAGGTATTCTACACACATTTCCTGCTTATAAAAATTTTCATCACAGAATCACAATTTCTGTGGGTAGAAAATTACACTGATTTCTTAGATTGCCAATGTGGGCCTTCAAGTATGCTGAAACAAATTTCTGCAAAAAAAAGGTGACTGCATTCATAGTGTAAATAAAACCACTGTGACAATGAAAATACATGTGTATATATGTTTTAAAATTGATTTTATATTGTTTAATGCCGAGTCGGCAATATTTCAGCCATATTTTGGCGGATAATACATGTGTAAAAGAAATATATTTCTATATGTACTGCATACACCAATTTAATTCCGATTTTATGCCTATGAAATTCTTTATAAAACTACAGCTATTCTCTGAGCCAAATTCTCCCTGTAAATAAATGGTACCTGGAATGTTCTGTTCCTTTTTAATGTTCTGAATGGTTGTTGCATGGATTATTTCTGTCATGATATTGTACCTGTAAAACACAAAATGCACATAATGAATACAAATCCAAGAGATTTATTATAAAAATATTCCACTTACAGTTCATATAACTTTCTACTGTACATCCATGGTAACATGTTGTAGAAAATTCTTTTCTCATTGAATGCATTAATTTTTCAAATAACAGTTGGTTGCACATTGTTTATGTTTACATTTCTCATTTTCTTCATTTCATTTACTCCTTCTTAACGAACCAAAATCTCATTTTTTTGAAAAATATGTATCATTACTAAAGACAAATAATACTAAACAAGTATTAAAGCGCATGTGCAGTGTATTTTGATATTAAAATTAAGCTGGTATAACCTTATTTGTTTAAGGTGCTCTATATCGTCACACTTGTCAATGAGTTTCACGAATTCCTCGTACGTAGCTGCATACGTATACTTCTTACGAGTATCCTCAGAAAGCTGTCGTCGGTAATCAATGTAGTTTATTAGTTTCTGATTTATGTAGTCAGGATCACATATCATGTCCACGGAGGGTTTCAGAACTGGAAATACATGTATAAATACAAAACAAATACATAAAACAGTTTTTAAAAAAAGTTTATATGTTTTCAAAGGTCAAAATTATTTTTTAAAACTTAAATATAATCATAATAATCATTTTGAATCGAAGGTAAAATTTAAGCATACTGTTGCAATATTGTTCTATGCTTATCTAAATTAGGATATCAATTATCAAACCAATTTAACATAGTATTTTTTACTCTCTCCATATCTTTATAATGTCTAGCTTTGATCCAAATCTTTACACGATGTAAATCAACTATTAGAGAAGGGCACTGAGAAATATTCATGTATTTCTTGACCAACTTGAACTTAAAATATTTCTTCCTGTAAATCTTTTTTTGTCAACAAATGTAGAAATGCTTGCTAGAATATGTCTGCTAATTTAAGATGTAAAACTATTGCAAATAAAAGTTTTGAATGATAGTTTGGTTTTAGTAATTTTAAATTCATTTCAAAATTTTTAATTCTACATAGAAAACAAGTGTCCTTAACCTTCTATCACTACCTTTAAGTTCTGACTAGCTTTAATTTCTAGCTTTACAATAATTCAGTAACTTCAAATAATTTCAGTAACTTCAAGTAATTTCAGGAACTTCAAGTAATTTCAGTAACTTCCAGTAATTTCAGTAACTTACTGTAATTTCTTACCTGATGATGTCAGTATTTCTCTCAGCATTCTCCGCAGTGTGTGACAGCGAATGTATTCCTTGGGTAGCAGTGCTATCAGCAGAGATTCACAAACCTTCCTCAGAAATTCTGTCTCTGTCTCCTCGTTATCCAGCCAGGGATGTAAAATGAATTTCTTGGCTATTTTGTCATCTTCTCTGTGTTTATAGACACAAGCTTAACTACATTACTCAGATAGGTTTATGGTAATCATGAACTTACATGTATACAGTGTAACCTTCTATTCTGACATGCACATGGAGAGAGAAAATTTGTGTCAGAATAATATAGACAGGGTGTCGTTTGTTTTTTTTTTTTATATAAAAAGCATAGAAAATAACAAAATTGGACTTGAAATAAATTTTCTTAATAGTTTTTCAACAGGCTCATAAAACAAATACTGTGTAGCAAAAGTTCCACAAAAGTATACAAAGGTATAAGCTAAATTGCTATACCTGCAGTTGACTTTTTTCTATGATGACACACATCATATATAGAACAAGATCATTAAGTAATAATATTGGCTGTACCTCTTCCTGTATTCTCTGATCTCCTGGAAATGTTTGTGGATTTTCAGAATGACGTCCTCCGTAATCAGCTTCATTTTGTCTATCTTCTTCAATCTGTTTGTCAAAGATTCAATCATCACCCATATGTCACTTCTAAAATGAATTTGAAAGATATATTGATAACCACAACTGAATATTCTCTCATCTTGCTCTAAAAATATGTTACAATTTGAAGAAAAAAGATACAGTAGATATATGTAAACTTTGAAATATTGTCATATACAAGTACACATATATTTACATGTAGGCTGCTTTATCAAACTGGAAAAATGGATAAATAAAATTTAGTATTCAATCAACTGTACTAATTTAATTTGGACGACAAATATTTTTGTTTTTAATGTAAAAGGTTGAAGATAAGGAACAGAAATCGTTCCTAAAAATCAAAATCATTTTTCTGGCTATGAAAAGAAGGTATTGTGTTGCGAAAATTTGGTGATTTACAGTACAAACCTTAGAGAACTTAAAAAAGCTTCATGGTCCTTCGACAGATCAGCATACCATGACATGATATAGTCTCTCATGATAAGGTCAAGAACTTCCTGTAACGCGCCATCTACATTTCTTGTTATCACTACTTTCTTTGTCTCCGATTTCTTCTCATACCTTTTTTCCTACAAGTAATCCATTATATCAATTAAAATATGATAATCTGGTGATCAAATCAGATAAGTGTTTTTTTAATATATTGCAACATGATAATTTCTCTTAATATTAATTCTAAATACTGCAAACCAACTTTTATTCGTGGCGACTCAATTTCACGATTTATCATGTGTAAACAAATTCTTGACGATAAATTTTCACGATCAAGACGTTTTCGATCTGTTCTAAATAGACACAGAGACTCTGAGGACCCGTTCACTGCGAGAAATATTCACAATAACCTCTCTCTCGCGAGCCTTCCGAACATTTCTCGCACACGAATGAAAGTTGGTTTACAATGCACCTATTTACAGCAATATTTACCTCCACAGTGTATACAAATATTAATTTACCATCAATTTGATGAGTTCCTGTGCCATTTTTGACTCCCGGGGCTGGGAGGCTGGTTTGTACGTTTTTCCCTGGACCAGAGACCATGTCACACCAAGATAGATACCTAGTACGGCTATCACACAATGGACCAACAGAGACAGGACTGTGCCAATGACCTCATAGTGGTAACCAATAGCCAAGACTGCTACCCCGCCTCCAAGAATGATGTATCTTGTGGGAGCCATATCCTTCTACACAGTTCTCATTCATCTACATGATCTAGCTATAAAAAGAGCAAAACTTTCAATGTAAATTAACTCACCAAGATATTGGCCATGAATAATTTACTAATTTTAATCAAATGCATGAAATCTATGTAAAGATACAATAACTTGAAATTAGTATATCCATGATAATGATTATGTTGATGAATACACTCTCTAAATTGTTAGTCATTAGAATTTTGATTAGATGTTCAAATACTTTTTGGTTACAATTAATGGACAATTTTTTTTCCATTGTACATGCTTATAATATTTGAAAATACAAAATAAATAAATAAATACATTAAAAATTAACCTTTAGAAAGACAGTGGGCTGATTCGATCTGACATTATATGGGATAAGAAGCTTCAACAGGTTGGGACCAATCGCCCAAATGGGATATAATAGTCCGTTAGGGATATAATATCCCAAATGGCTATAAATTTACAGTGCAAAAAATGAAAATTTTTATTTTGGCTATAAATATCATAAATCCGGCATCAGGACACTGAAAAAGGAATAACTTTTGGTTGACAAGTTTTCCTGTATGCCCATTGTTTAGGAGATTGATCCCTCGGAAGTTCCTTAACTTCTTGGGGATCAATCTTACAAACGGTTGGTTGCAGAAAAACTTGCTTACCAAAAGTTATTCCTTTTTAAGTGTTTTGATGCGGATTTAGGATATTTCTTGCCAAAATAAAAATTTTTAATTTTTGCACTGTAAATTTATAGCCCGTTTGGGATATTATATCCCTAACGGACTATTATATCCCATTTGGGCGATTGGTCCCAACCTGTTCAAAACAAGCTAGACTGTTTGTGTGGACTTCAGTTCTGAGAAATTTTCCTTTAATGTGTTCATGTATATTTGTGACAGAGTGGTTTTAATGAATAAATAATTAATAAAGAATATTTATTTATATCTCTGTATATCAAATTTTTTTTAAAGTTTTCATTATCATCATTGCACTTTTCACTTTGCATGTTACTAATTCCGACTGGCTGACCTTGTCGACCTTTGATCAGACTCTATAATAGGCTTACAACATAAATAACACTTGCCTTGTTACGTGTTTATCAGTATCAGCATTGAGAAAAAAAAAATCACTTTCAAAATAATTATGAAAATATTGTATGCCGAACCCGACATGGGTTTAAAAAGCACTTGTAGTTTCGAAGCACAGAGACCTGCGTTACTTATTTTTCTTTTAATAAAAAAAATCCCATACCTAATATTATTATTATGGGTATATATTTTTTTTATTAAAAGAAAAATAAGTAACGTCAGGTGCCTGTGACATACATGTAGTATGGGTTTTTATTTAATTCATCATTGGTGTGCATAGATTGTTTTTTCCATTATTCTGGCCTTTGTCAATTCTTGAAATATTCAAATTGACAACTTCCACGTAGGCGATAGCCTGTCCACTTCTCTAAAGAGAATAATAGGCGAGTATATATGGTAGTCCTGTAGTCCTTTTTATTTTAATTAAACTTTTTTAATTAAAATAAAAAGGATTATAGGACTACCATATATACTCATGCGCGGATCTAGAGGGGGGCTGGGTCGGGGGGGGGGGGGGGGATCAGGACCCCCCCCCCTGGAATTTACACGTTTAAAAATGTATATACTAAAGCAAGAAAAAAGTGGACCCTACTAGGAAAACGCTGACCCTGCTGGTGAACATGAATATGTGTTAAATTGGTATGAAAAGTGAAAGATTTGAGGCAATAGAAATCATAGCCTACCCCCCACCCCCCACCCCCACCCCCCAGGTTTTTTACGTTTGGGCGAGTTAAGTTTTTTTTTTTTTTTGCTTGTCAAGAAATTTCTGGGATTGGAATTTTTTTTGGACTGGGTGGACCCCCCCTGGAAAAAATTTCTAGATCCGCGCCTGTATACTCGCCTATTATTCTCTTTAGAGAAGTGGACAGGCTATCGCCTACATCCACGTAGGCGATAGCCTGTCCACTTCTCTAAAGAGAATAACTCGCCTATAAGTTGGTCCGCCAATGTACGTCGGTTGTATTTTCATAGAGGTTCATTTAAACTGAATTAGAGGGATTTACCCTTGACCTGTTTATAAGTCGGTACAACCTTTTGCCAGAATTGTTTGACATTTTAAATTAATGTACTGTTATTTTTTTGGTGGGGTGTGTGTGTGTGTGGGGGGGGGGGGGGGGGGGTTAAGCGCCCGAATCGATAGATCCGAAGGGTATATTGCTTTTGTCCTGTCTGTTTGTCTGTCTGTTGTCAACTTTAACCTTCGCCACAACTTTTGAACCTTGAAAGGTAGAGACTTGATATTTAACTGATATGCGTACTCCACTAAAAAGTTCTTTCAAAAGACAACAAGGTGAATGACCTTGTGACATTGACTGTGACCTACAAGCTAAAAATAGCTTTTTCAAACCTTAATTTTCAATAACTTTCGAGCCATAAGAAATATAGACTTCATATTCGGTATGCATGCTTTACAAATTAAACTCATACAAATGACACCAAGGCCAATGACATTGTGGCCTTGACTGTGACCTTTATGCTAAAAATAGTTTTTTTTTTCTAACTTTTGAACCATAGGAGATACAGACTACATTTTTCGCACGCATACTCCACTTATAATGTTCTTTCAAATGACATTAAGATCAATGACCCTGTGACCTTTTTGATAAAAATATATATATATTTTAACTTTGTTGCCGCCAGGCGCATACTGTTCTACAAACACCTTTTATTTGAGTTAAATTTTTGTCCAATGTCCAAAGAGATTGGTATTTTTTGGACAGTGAAATGTGACATTTTATATATGTTTCCAACATTCATTGGTGAACAAGACCTATCATTTATGCATTCAAAGATTATACATAAAGTACAAGTATTTAAACTTGTTTTGATAGTTTTATTTTTATCTATTTCTCATGAGAGTTTATGTATATAGGTGTAGCACTTTTTAAAAAAACATTATTTTTCTTGCCTGATCATGTCAGAATCTTTATTAAAGCATCATTTAGAGTGTATTTAATGTAGCTCCAATTAGTGGTGACAACTAGGCCCAATTGAAATAAATAGTTGATTTTATCAAGGAAGGGTGTAGACCAACTGCACCATTAGATAGGTATGGCACGCCAAATTCACAAAAATGAGATAATCATAGTTTCACAATCGATAAACTAGGTTTATCGGTTGTAAACTATAGTTTACAAGCCGTAAACTATAGTTAACAACGTTAATCTATATTTCACATCTGTAAACCATAGTTAACGCGATAATCTTATGTTTCACAACCGTAAACTATACTTAACACCGAAAACAATCATTTGCGATTGCAAAACATAGATTATCTGATAAATACAGTTTCACGATTTGTAAACTATAGTTTACAAACCGTTAACTATAGTTAACGATCTGATAAATATAGTTTCACAATTTGTGAAACTATGATTAACAACTCTTAACTATAGTTTACGATTGTAAACTATAGTTTACAAACGTGAATCTATGTTTATCAACAAAATCTATTGTTAACGCTTTATTACAGACAGATAAACTTAAATTAAGGTCAAGATCTAGTAAATGACTTTAGAATAACTTTTCAGAGCTAAATCCATTATGACGTCATAATCACTTTCAACTTTCTTTTTCCCGTACTTTACGGCTGTAATAGAAATATGTAGAAAATTAAGTATTTTCATTGAATTCAATTTGAAATCACATGAAAAGTAGGCCCGATACCTATCTTAAATTTAACATTATTTTAAAGTAGAGACTAAGAACATACAAATAACCGTTTTCAGAAAAACTGTAGGCAATCTGGATACATTTTCTTTGTCTGATATGGAAAAAAACTCCCATTTTCAATACTGGATTTCTTAATTTTTCATTGAAAATGACAGTTTAAACTATGGTTTTACATCTTATTTTTCTACAAATTATGCCCCGAAACACCTATTTTGACCAAGCTTATGTTATAAAGCATCATTAAATGAATTGATTTCTTAAATTTGAAAAATCTGTAGGCACCTTCCATTTACTAGATCTTGACCTTAACATTTGTAAAGTATAGTTAACAACCGTTAAATATAGTTTTACAGATGAAAACTATACTTAACGAATCGTTAACTATATTTTACGGTTTGTAAACTATAGTTTACAGTCGATAAACCTAGTTTATCAATTGTGAAACTAGGTTTATCTCATTTTTGTGAATTTGGCGTGCCATAGATAGGGGCCTTTGTTTGTCAGAGTACATATATTTATCAGTTTTCTATGGAATGCCATATACGACAGCCAACTGCTTAATTACTGCCAACTGCTGACTGCTTACTGCCAACTGTCAGCTACTTACTGCTAACTGCCACAAATATTTGAATAAATCTTTTTTTTTATTGATATTTATGTGAATTTTCAAAAAAGAAAAAAAAAAAGGCGCGGATCTAGAACATTTTTTTCAAGAGGGTAACTCATGTTAAAAAAAATACAACCCAGAAATTTTCTTGACAAAAAAGAAAAACAGGGGCGGATCTAGAACATTTTTTCCAAGAGGGTCACTCATGTTAAAAAAAAATCCAACCTAGAAATTTTCTTGACAAGAAAAAAAAAACGTAAAGTCCTTTCCGTAATGTAAAAATTTATTTCGGCCGTGGAGAGGGGGGGTTCTCATGCGTCAAACCTTCATGTCTATGACATTTTTTATACCAACTTAACACGAATCCGCGTTTTCGGGGGGGGGGGGGGGGTTCTTAGGTTTCTTTTAGTTGATTCATTTTATACATTGAATAACTTTTAGTTTAGTTTGTGCATAAAATAACTTTACAAATTCCAGAGGGTGGTCCGGACCTGTCTCTCTAGATCTATGCATGTAAAACATATCTTATTTGTAAAAACAAAGAGATAAAATGTTTGATCGGCGTTTTCTAAGTGAAGGGTCCAAGGTCAGTTTTATAGTTCGTTTAGTTTATACATTAACCCATGACTAATGCCCCCACTCCCAAGATCTTTGCATTTGAAACATTATAACACACAGAGATATACTAGTACATCTTTAATTTTTGGAAATTTTTAACTAAAGAATTTTCAAAATATCTTTATCTGCGAAACGACAAATATATATTTTTTTTAATGTTTTCTCTTCAAAGGTTTTGTTGTCTCCGGCGGGGGCGGGGGGGGGGGGGGAGTTACTTCATTAAAGATTAAAAGCAGAAAATACTCATTTTTCAAATAAGAAAATATAAATAAACAATGCACTTTATCAATGGCATATACTGAATATTACATAAATTAAAACATAATGGTCATTTAGTCAATTTAATTTTACCATGCCGGGTGACCTCTTGGATCTGCGCCTGTTTTTTTTTTCTTCTTCTTTCTGAAAATTCATATAAATATCAATATAAATATAAAATTTATTCAAATATATGTGGCAGTTGGCAGTAAGCAGTTGGCTGTCGTATATGGCATTCCATAGTTTTCTATACAATTTAAAAAAAAATATTTTACATTTAACAATCCGGAAGACAAGCCCCTATGAAATGGCCAACCAAAGTTTTACATAGAAATATATAGGAAAATTCTTTAAAAATCATCTTATCAAGAAAAGCAAAGCCATGATTGGTCTTGGGACTACTTTTGATATTAACTATTCAATAATAATCCAATTTCTACTTTTTCCCAGCCACACTGCTCAGGTGAGCGATGTGGCCCATGGGCCTCTTTTTATTTTAATGCCAGTCTAGGCAGTTAAAAGACCTGTAACAATGAGAATTCCGCGAAGCACACCCCCTATAGTATTTCCGTATCGGTATATTTCAAATGGTTTATAACGTCTTGATTTATATTAACTGGAGTGTCGGGTTGTGGAATTAAGCAAGTACACTACACTCCGGTATAGTTACAACGTACCTGTAAAGCTATGGAAGAGTATAGCAGCCAAATAAACATCATGGACTTCTTGGAAGTTAGCTAAGTTATGTAACCTTTATACATAGCCACGGATTTCCAGCATAAATCAATTACAACGTTCCATTGCTCTGATGAGTACTGTATAGGGGGAAAATAACTCGCGGTGTTAATATTCGCTATATTCACGGTGTTAACAAATCCGTGAATTCAAGAAACAGAAAATAAATTTTCAATAATCTCCATGTTTTATTTGGAAATTTGAGAATAGACTACATAAGATTTATATAGGTGTACGTGCAGTCATTTCAGTAATTGCGAGTAGAACTGTCATTCAATTAATTTTAATTATCACGCTTTACTTTAATTCAAATCGGCAGATGATAATTTGTGTTTGTTCAAAAACTGTTTTAATAGCCAACGCTACATGTTTCATCAAACAAAACACGTGGGCCATGGGTTTTGATTACCTGTGCGTAACTAATGTTACCACGTGTATTTGTTACCTGCATTCTCATGCATATTAGTTTATGTAGTTTAATTTTATCGACATTCTGGTTTTAAAAGTCTTTCAAATATCGAACTTACTGACGAAGGAAGTGTGGAAGGATATTATTTCGTAGAACTACATAAAAAGTTTTATTTCCGTCCAGTGGTTTTTCGCCGCGTTGTATTGAAGATCTCGGGTGCACATGCACTCATAGTAATAGCATATAGGAAAGTCATCTAACTTTTAGGGACTATTAATAACTGCATTTATGTTAATCGATTATTTATGAAATCTAACAATTTTATAATAACTTACCCTGTTGTTCGTAAAATAAAGACAAAACTCTGATTAATGTCGTTTACATGTAGCTCTGGTATGGATTAAATGGAGACAAGGGAAGTAACTTTTATTACATACCAAATTCCGTGAATTCAAGAAACCGCGATTGTGTCAGATGAGAGAAAAACGTGAAAATTACAACCCGTTAAATTAATCCCCTATACAGTATACTGAAGCAAACAACTTAAAATGATTTTCAAATGCACGATGTTTTGTGTTACATAATTTACTGCAGTGAAATAATTTCCCCTTCCTCCAATGTAAACTTTTATAACTTATCATGCTTAAAGGGTTCTATTGATATTAATGGTATTATATTCAGTCAAGCTTTTTGAACACTTATTACTTGTTACATATAGAATCTATTAGACTATTACATGTAGTATAAATCTTTCATTTTCATTTTCTAAATGGAATGAAATAACAGAAAGAAATAACATTCTTGGAGGAAAACTTGGCAGGAGTTGGTCAAGGTGCAAGGGTGTGGGTTGAGGGTAGGATTTTTGCCGTTCTCTTCCAATGCAACATCAACATTTGCGTACTTTTTAAATATCGAAAACTATTTAAAGCTAAATATTTTTATCGCGAACGAGCTTCCGTATACCTGTCTTCTCCCTTTTTTTTTTGGCGAAAATTAATATAACTATACATGTATAGAGTTGCTCGACCGATATGGGTATGTTCAATCTATCTGAGGTTATAATTATTATTTATTCAAATGATTATTAAAATAGTTTTATACATTGTTTTTGATTTATAGGTTGATAATTAAACTGTTTTTATTCGATGTTTACATTAATATTTATTTTAAATGTGGCTTTTTATTTACATTTATTAAAACACGTTATATTTAAATATAAATTGAACTTTTTCAAAATATAGCAATAATTGGTATTTATTTTGATTAAGTGTCTAAACAGACGACTGTATATGATATTTCAGACAAACTTTCTTAAACTTGTACGAGAGTTATTTGATAAAGTTGAAAGAGTTAAATCATTTAGTATCTTTTAGCTAACAAAACTTTTTACCCCCGTAATCGAAGTTTCTGGGGTATATAGTTTTTGTCCTGTCTATCTGTCTGTCTATCTGCTCATCTGTTTGTTTGTCCCCAAAAACATTAACCTTGGCCATTACTTTTGGGGAGAGGGACTATGGCTTTCATATTTCACAAGGGTATTCCTTCTGACTATATGTTTCTTTGGGTACCACCAAATTTGACCTTTTAGCCTTGACCTTCGAGTTTGATCAAATTTTTCAAAAAATGATACCAACCTTTAGCCTTGGCCTTAATTTTTGAACAGCTGGTGCTAGGGCTTTCATACTAAGTGTTTTCCTTGTGATAAGACCTTTCTATGGGTACCACAAAATTCGTCTTTTTGACTTTGGAGTTTGACCCACTTTAACACAAAAAACTCCAAACTTTTACTTTGGCCATATCTATTGAACCGTAGATACCAGGACATTTATACTTCACATATGTATTTTTTGTGGCAAGACCTTTTATAGGATGCCACCAACCTTGACCTTTACGATTTCCGTCACTAATACTAAAAAGTAAAAACTATAATGCACATGTTAAATATGAAAATCATAGCTCCACTAAATCAACAGTTATGGGCAAGGTTAAAGTTTTTTGCGGACAAACAGACAGACCGAGAGACAGCTAGACGGACGGACGGACACGACAAAAACTATATATACATGTACCCCCGAAACTTGTTGCATAAAAATTAAACCTAAAAAAATCTGACAAGTAGAAAGAAAGTTAGGAAAATTAATTGCCCAAACAAAAAAAAATCGTATTTCAAGAGGGTAGGGGTCGAACTTCTTTTTTATACACTACTCAGATTACCCTTATTTGATTATCTATAGTGTAACAATACAGGGGTGGAAGAGGTATCCTCGTATAAAAGTCTGTACTTTTAACAGAGAAAAAACTATTTTAAAGTGATGATTTTTCTGGTGGCGCTTAAGATAGTCAAATTTGGATAGCTCTTTTAATTATGTTTTCCTCCTTATATTACAGCTTTAGCATTGACTACTGCAGTAAGAATAGTACTCGGAAAAACAAGACCGTTCACAAGTGTCATTGAAGCCTTACCTGGTAAACTCATATTGAATTTCATAAATGAAGTATTACTGTAACGCTAATAAATTCATTTCAATTTCTGTATAGTTACTTGTCCTTCCAACAGGCTGGGATGAGTTGGGAGACATAGAGCGTGCCGTCATAGAAAGTCAAACAGAGGGAGACAGAGTGTGGGCGTTGTCCGAGTATCGATCACGGCATGGTGGTAGGTAAAACATTATATATACAAATAATGGTAAAAATTATTATCATTGGATATATATATATTTTTCGATTATTATGAGTTCATATATCATACAATTAACATGAATATGGTCTCAAGCCACGGTCCGGAGTCCACTCATGCCAGAATGTATGATTTTGGACGTGGTTTGCGACGATGACAAAGTCATGTATTAATTAAATACATGATAGTTTTTCTGTTTGTTTGTTTGTTAGTCTGTTGGTTTGTTTTTACTTTTTTTACGAATATTAACATTATGTATTTCGCGAGTAAAAATGGTCAATAAAATCGTGATATCTCTTGTTTAAAGCAAAGAAATGAAATATTTTAGATCTACTTTTACAGACTTTCACATGTTAAAAAAAAATGAAATGTGTTGTTTTCTGTAATTTTTCAGTTCGATGTCCGACGGCATTTGAGTTTGCAAGATTCTTGACTGAAATCGAAGGTAATTTCAGCGGAATAAACAGAAATAATATAGGTACTCGAAAAACCTCCTCCTCTCTTTTAACTTTTCTATTTTGTAAAACATCTTTATGAATGTACGGATGACTCGTATTTTATTTACAGAGGAACTACGTTTAAGAATCATGGATCTAGAGAACCAAGTAGAACTGTTGCGCATGTCTACAACAGCACATGATGTCATTGAACTAAGAAACTGACACCTCTATGCAACAACCGAATGTAATCAAGAACTTTAATTTCGTAAAGTATCTGTCATTTGCTTCCTGCTTTATCATTTATTAGGACATTGCAATATATATGTAATACTTTTCAAAATAAATAACATATGCATACCTGTATATTATTATTTTCTTTTTTATACAGTTCATGAAATTTGGATGTAAGGAGCACATAGTATGTAAAACAACTCTTATGCACACTTTTCTCATTAAAAATATTTCATTCTGACATTTTACTTGCTTTACGTGTTTAAAATTACTCAAGTTTGTAAAATCTAGATAGAGGTGGTAAGGCAGGTTGGAATTCAGGATTCTTTCAGGAGGGGTCCCACCCCAGTACAATACTTCTAGTCCAAAAGTAAAAAATCTATCACAGGGTGAATTACAATTAAAATGTTACTAATTATCATTCATTGCCTTTTCATATATTTTTAAAAGGCATCATATTATAGTAACTGATGAATTCTGTTGTCACCATACGGAATTTACTATGTTTTTTCACTGCCTTATTCATTTATTTATACTGTTTATTCTGTATTCCCTGCGCATTCGCGACAATAGGTCTACAAATTCTCGGGCACTCCAGCCATAGACTTTGGGGATAGAAGACGCTCGATCCCTCTCCCCAACACAAGTGTATCTCCCGATAATTGTGGCATTGTGTCTAAATTACAGTTAGAAATAATTGTTAAATAACTTCTTAGTATATTCAATTTTTATTCAGTATTTATTTGATCATTTTATTTAAAATAAGTAATTTCTGAATTATCCAAATTCTTAAGTTTAAACGATTCGCGTAAAAGTGTGAGTGAGATGAGAAATATTAATACCTGTTATTTATCATATTTCAGGTCACCCCTTTTCTGTACATGCATGTCTATCGTAATTTTTTTTCATAGGCGTCGGAACCGGGGGGTATAGGGGGGCTTAGCCCCCCCCCCTTTTTTCGCAAAGATAGACATATTCTATGCATATAAAATCGGGGGTTACCTTTTTTGATGGTTTAGCCCCCCCTTCAATAAGCCCCCCCTTTCAATTTGCCTCCGACGCCCATGTTTTTAAATAAATAGCGAATCGGTACCCAGCAGCCGTGTTGTGTTTTATTTCTTCAATACTTTAGACAGGGCTGTGACAAATCGTTTTCAGAAATTAAATATGTATTTAATACATGTGATTGCAGATCTCTAGGGCTGGGGGAGGGGGTGTCTAGACCCCAAATACATCTAGATGTTGGGGAGGAGGATTCGTTTAAATTTCTCTTTTAAATATAGTTTACACTCAGAAGTAGCTAGAAGAAAAAAAGAGCCGCTCTACATTACAGACTCGCATTGATTGAGACATAATGAAACAACCTCAGAAATTTCAAGGATTTTTGTGAGCTGATAAGAGTAGATTTATGCAAACAGAATTAAGTACTGTATATAGAACCCCCCCTTCTTTTTTGATTTTTTTTTTTTTTAGGACTATTAATTCTCGTGTTTTCTGTCTTTTTTGTAGTAGTTCATTTTTTGTCTCTCGTAGTGTGTGTTTCTTTTTTCAAATTAATAAAATATGTCTGTTAAAACACCAACAATATTAGATAGCGATGCCGAGATCCGTAGATTATCGGCATGTATTTTGGCGCCAACGGCATTGTGTACTATTTTTGGAACCAACGCGTCATAAACGCCCGGATGTACTAATAAACAACATGCATTGTTTGATGCCGGCTGTGTGATCCAAAATCTAATGTTTACAAGAAGAATATTAAATAAATATAGAGAGAACAATCATATTCTTTGTTGAAACGAAATCATGGCGCATCATAACGAAGTTCAAACATGGTCTTTGTCCTCAGAGGAGTTATTCCAACGACATTTTCCTTTACACCAAGCATGCCGCAATGGCGACTTGGAAAGTCTGTCGATTTTATTATCCAGCGGAAATACCGAGTTCTACGAAGAGGACAGTTTTTACGGATGGTCTCCGTTACATTGGGCAGCAAATTTTGGAAAGGTGATTAATACGACGCATGTCATTTTATTTTTCATTTTAGTTATCAAGATTTTGAGAGAGGTATTTTTAGTAGTTAGGCCTACCTGGTTACAGAATTCCTGTTTTATTACGGTTGATTAAGGTACATGTACATCTTAGTTTAGCTGCAGGGAATAAAAACTGTCTTTACTCAGATATAAACAAAAGATTACTTTTTGTTGGTACTAGCATATCTAAACATTTTTACTCGAAAATTAAACGGGTTGTTCTGCGTGAAAGTTATGTCCCTTAAATGGTATCTTGAGGAAGGGAAAGTTCATGTTCACAGTAGACTGGCGTGTTTAAAACTTGTTATTTGACATGTAAATGATTGTTACATCTCATATTTTTATTGTGACAGTCTTTTAGATGGGTTGCCATCAAAATTGATGTTTTGAAAATAAAAAAAATCAAAGGTCAACATGTCTAAATAAATATTTTTACAATATCTCCAAAACTATGTGTGGTATGAAGTCAAAATGTTCACAGATTATAAATATATCATTGATTAATATGATATTTTAAAAAAGATATTTCTTAGAAAAATTGTATCAGAAAATGTGCATATTTAAAGAAAAATGCACCTGCTTAATTCTGTCCTTTTTGTGAAAACCATCATTGCAGAAAAATAATATATGTTTATCATTGAAGGGCATGTTGGACGTGAATGGTCTTTGAAAGGCTGTTATTGAAAGCATGACACGTATGAAGACAAGACCCCTGTAGAACCTGCCATTTGCAATGTACTTTCGCTTTCAAGTCTTAACATTTGGACAAAATAAACAGGAAAAACAACTTTCCAGAGGCTATCCAAGTCCAACTTGCCCTTCATTGATAAACATATTTTGTTTTTGCATTGATGGTTTTCACTAAAAGTATGGAATTAATTAGGTGCATTTTCTTAAAAAATATGCATTTCTAAAAGGATTTTTTCTCAATTTAAATATTTTTTCCAAGTATTTTTTATCAAGTGATACTTTCTATCTGTTAATCAATGAAAAATTTATAAACTCTAAAAGTTTAAACTTTAAACCTCACATAGTTTTGGAGTTATTGTAAAATAAATTTTTAGACATGTTGACCTTTGACGAAACCTTAAACCCAGTTGAGTGAAAAGTGAAAATGGAATTTAATTGCAGTACAACCAAAAAAGTATGGTAGAGAATTCAGAAACATTCATTGTTCTCTACCACATAAAAAAATGCAGATTGAACCCTTATGTTGAGTATTTTAAAAATTACATATTACGTTCAAGGAGCATTTAAAGATAATGATTTCTCTACGAGGAAAACAGTAGAAAAGAAATATTTTGTATCACTGATGACCAAAAAAAAAATCATCTAAAAGGAGGGTTAGCTTCCTCTTCCAAGTTGTCATGATGAAGGCAAAATAAAAGTGATATTTCATATTTGTATTTATTGAATTAAAGCATATATTGTATGTATATTGTATTTGTATTGTCATATATTGCATTTATAATTTTTGAAATTCATTAAAAAAAATTTGAAAAAAAAATGTCAGCATGTCCTTTTTTTAGCTCACCTGCCTGATCAAATTAGTAGAGAATGGGGCAAACTGTGATGTTCCCACCGATCGGACCAACATTACCCCATCCCACGTAGCCGCCGAAAGTGGAAAAGGGCACTGTTTATCCTGGTTACTTCAAAACCATGCCCTCATAAATCGACAGGTAAAATATAGGTGTGCTTGCTTAATGACTTTTGTTTTCTTTTTCTCTCCCCCTAGCTGGCTTGTCTGAGGAAACTCTCTAGTCTCTCGCAATACGGGTGTGACAATGCGTCCTCCAAGTTCCAACAATCTCCGCTCCACCTGGCGTCATGTGCTGGTCACCCTCACTGCATTCAGTGGCTAGTCCAGTCAGGGGCTAGTATCGATCGCCAGGTATTGTGCTCCGTTTTCAGCCTGTTCCAAAGAGAGTACAGCATGGTGCTAAATATCAGTGTGATACAAAAATTTATGTTCCATTTCCTCCCTAAAAATTTTTTGGGGGAAAGATTAATAGTAAAGAGGTTGCAAAAGTCATGAGACAACTGCAAAGGGTCATTGAGATTGATCATTTCAACTGTAAAGCAGATAATTATAATTGAATGTTACCTAGATTACGCTATATTCCTAAATTTAGAATAAGTGGTGCTTGAATAAATATGAGAAAAAATTGCTTTGAAGAGTGCATATGAACCTCTGCTACAGTAGAAAATAATACATTAAAAAAAGATAAGATTTAATTCTATGTATTTTTATTGAAAAGTAAAAATATTAGTTGCAGAGTTAAATTCTCTTTGATTCAAATTGTACAGATGTTACTGGCATGTTCAGAATATGAGGATTTTGATGTATTTACAGGACTATCTGGGTGATACCCCCACACACAAAGCCGCCAAGAAAGGACACATGGAGTGTGTCAGTCTGCTAGTGTCCCAGGGGGCAAGTCTATGGTAAGACACGGTCTGAGTTTATGAAAATTTGAAAATAAGCATATTTAAACAGTCTGGCTAGTGTTAAATCTAGACCCTAAAAAGGGCATGGTAATCAAGGAATCAAAAGGGCACTTTGCGTCGCGACAGGATCTCACGAGGGCACTTTTAAAACAAATGTTAATGTGTTTAAAATTAAATTTAATATTTATTAATTTTTACGTACTTTAACATATATTTAATTACTTTAAATATCCTTTCATATTGAAATCTTTATTTAAACAAGTGATATATCTGTATTCCATTCATTTTTCTTAAAATACCAACACAATAAGCACACCTGGGCTGACATGACAATTATTGAAACAAAAAGAATATAAAAAAGGCATTTACATCCAATTTCTTTAATCAAAAAAGTAGTAAAGTAATGGTATTATTCTAGCTGAGACATCTGCAAAAATTATTTAAGTTTGGAGGTATGATATTTTACCTGCTTGGACTGTGTTATTTGTGTACTAGTACAGTTAATATTTAAACATTAAACGAAAATACTTTTTTTTCAGGAAAGGGGGAGGGGCATTTTGAAAAAAACATGTAGAGACCATTCTCTTTACTTGGAAAATACTGAATTATTCTACCAACAGGAACAAGTGAAAACTGGTCTCACTCCCAAAAAAATTAATGCAATGTATAATTTGTTTTTAAAAAACTGTGGCTTTAATTAGAAACATTAACCCTCAGCTTGTCAAATCTATCAGTTCAATCAAAGAAACTATTAAACTTAGTTTGTTGTTTAAGCCTCTTTATCACATTACATTCAGTTTTTTTGGTACACTGTAGGTATTTTAGTCAGGTAAAATATACATTTTTTCTTCAAGTTGAACTACATGTGTTTTATTCTATTTTCGGTTTAATAAAAACGATCCTGATTATAATTAGTTAATAATTTACAAGTTAATTTATCCTTGGTCTTGGGCTAATTCTTGCATAATCAATGCAATCAAATGACAGTTTCTCAAGTTAAATCCTCTACCCTGACAGCCTGAGGCGTGAAGTGATTTCCTGTCGTTATATAAACAAAGGGATTATCAGCATGCACTGAATAACCGGAACAGCGAAGGAATATTGCCTAAACTGTGCATATTTATTATACCCCCCGCTTGAAAAGCGGGAGGGTATATAGTAATCGTTAATTCCGTCCGTCCGTCTGTACGTCCTTCCGTCCGTCCGTCTGTCTGTCTGTCCGTCCGTCCGTCCGTCTGTTACGCTTTGGGGTACCCATCTCTTATCCGCAACTCCTCTCATACCACTGAATGAAATTTGATGAAACTTTCACAGAATCTTTATTACATATTGCCATTGTGACCTCTTATTTTACTTTTTGATTCGACACATATTTTGGGTTTCCCGGCCACAGGAAAACATGGACTTTTTCACCAGTTATAACCATATGGGAGGCGGGGGGTATCATTTTGTGAGCTCATCGCTCACAGTACCTCTAGTTAATTTTGGGTTAGGAAATAAGGGCATGGCGCCGAGAAAAAGGGGCATGGCGCCGCGCCATGCTAGTTTGCTTTAGATTTAACACTACTGGCAGGTTTTGGTAATCTTATGTTTTAAGTTGCTTCATATGATTTCTCATAAGTTAAAATAATGGTAAATGAAAAAGCATAAGGATATCCGATAAAATTTTTTTTTACTCAGTTTCATTCCCATATAGATTGCCAGAAGAATACAGATTCTGCATTTTTTAATTTTTTCTTTTGAATTTCCATGTACTTTGCATTTTCTACTTTCAGTTTGCTCAATCATAGTCATTGTACACCTAGTCAAGCAGCGGCAGAAAACGGCCACCTTGAGTGTGCTCAGTACATTGAGAATGCTGCCAAACTGCAGAGCCAGGGACAACTGCCCAGGACTCAGTGTGTTACTATGCAACCATCCCACCTACTGCACGGTCAGATGGAGCAGATGATGACCGACACGACTCATCATAATGGTCACTTTTCTGATGGTCCCAGTCCTGTTGATAATGGCATGGATATGTCAGGGGATGGACCCCTAATCGGCACGAAGAGGGGGCGAGATGAGTGCTGCGAGGAGGATTCCTTCAAACGAATGAGGAAAGGGGGTCAGTATGGGTTGTGTCATTTTGTCATATGGAGGACATTGTGTACCAATTTTTTGCTATTGTCTACATGTGTGAAACATCTAACACATTCTATTACAAGCAATGTTTTGTAGTGTCAGGTTTAACATGACCATATGAGGGGTGAGCCAAAATGTTCTGAGACTTTATCTTATGCATGAATGCAGTTTTTAAAATTGACCTTAAACATTGACGATTATTAATTTGGGATATGTTATAAAATTCACCAGCTTTAAAATTAGTTACTTAAATGTAAAAACAATCCATGGTTTCTAGATAAATGCACCAAAACAGATTCCTTACAAGTAACTAAGCCATTCATTTTTGCAAAGTACACAGAAGAAATGAAGAAATAAACAGAAATTGAATCAAATATTTCAATAAACTATGGATAAACTCAAACTTGGTCTCTTGATTTAGAATTGCAATCGATGTGTAGAAAACTTAGCATATCAGCATACAGGCTGAACATAGTTACAGGGGGGGGCAACTCAGGGTAAATCAAATTAATATTTGAATTTATTATTATTCAGTTTATTATTTTAAAGAGCTCTCTTCTTCTTCAAACCAGTAAGCTACAAATCTACAGCTAGAGTAAGCATTGCTATTTTTATACTATGAAAGAGATATAGTTCGTTAATTCTTTAATATTTGAACTCCTCTCATACCACTGAATGAAATTTGATGAAACTTTCATCTTTATTACATATTGCCATTGTGCACCTCCTATTTTACTTTTTGATTCGACACATATTTTGGGTTTCCCGGCCACAGGAAAACATGGAATTTTTCACCAGTTATAACCATATGGGAGGCGGGGGGTATCATTTAGTGAGCTCATCGCTCACAGTACCTCTAGTTTTTTTTATTATACATGATTAAAACTACCAACCACTTTATCACAATTTTTTTTTATTATATATGAAAACTCCTTTTATTATTTGACAATTCAGACAAGTTTCAGAACTTAATGATCACCCCTCATAGGGTAACAAATACAGATTTGAAATTTCCTTTCAACTTCAAGGAGTAGATGTCAAAATACAAATTTATTTTGGAAATTTAAAAAAAAATCCATAAGGCTATCTAAATTTAATTCTCTGGTTCTCAGGCCAATTTTCTCCAAAACAGATGCGGGAGGGAGGCATTTTATTTATCATTTTATTGGCAATAAAGTAGATGAGGGAGGTATTTTTTAAATTTTAATTTTCAAATTTTCTTTAAAATAAAGATAACTTTTTTATTCACGGATTCATAGATGATTAAAGTACACTTGAATTATACATAGATGGCCTGTGCTATTTTAGCACACTAATAAAACAATTCAATTTGAAACCATAACATGCATGTATGATATACATGTATTTATGAATTTATTTTATTAGAAAATTCCTATACATTGCAGAATTCTTAACAAACCCTAGCCACTTCTGACAAGTATAAATACTTCAAATAAATGTATGCACAGCTTATACATATTACAGATACATGTATTCTTCAAATAACACCAGTAAAATTTATTTTACCATACCAGCTTTCAATTTATACAGTATAAACATATTTATAGCTGTATCATCATCATGATCAAATTCTCGCCTATATTTATACACCTTTTCTAAATCTCATATAACAAAACACAGCAATGAATTGGTTGAGATATGTTTGTTCTTTGCCTTTTGCTTTCAGTACAAGCTCAAAATGAGCTAGACACAGACATAAATAATGTGATCGTCTCCTATCAGGCCGTATTGGCGCTGTCAACCGAGCCCCTCAGGTGTGAGGACAGCTCACATCTCGTGTCCAAGTCTGATTTCCAAGTATTTTTATAGAATAGCCTGTCCTAATTAATACTCGACAGGTTAGTTTTAAACATTGTGTGCTGCCATCCTGACTTCATTAGAGTGCTTTTGATATGCCTGATTTCCAGTTTTTCTCGGCTGTTTTGTGTCATAGCATTGTAAAGTATCCTGTATGTGCTTTGATTTGACCAAAAATGGGGGGGGCATATTGGGTTGCTTCAAAGTATAAATTAATTAATACAACTGTTAAATGAAAAGCATCGACTTTAAATGCATACTTATGCTAAAATAAATCAAATTTAAATTGAAAAGGAAAAGGTTTTAGTTTTAACATGAATTCTGTTATGTGTTGATTTTATGCATTTTGCATTTGTAGTATTATTGAAAATGTGAGTTCCATGCATACAAGGACAATGAGTTTTATGCTTAGTGTTAAAAAACAAAATCAATTCTTTGGGGGATCTGTTCTTTCATCTCTCATGTAGATGTAGAGAAAGTTAAGAAAGAAAGCTAAAATAAACAGCAAAGTCAAAGGACACATAATAATGACATAACTGCATTATCATATTCTAATTGCATGGATCAAGCAATACACACAAATATTGAATAAAAATTAAATTTTCATCTATTGCCATAAAATTTTAAACTTTTTATCAGAGGTGTGTATTTTTTGCCCAGGTGGCAATTCATATTGTTTACAAAATTTTAACAATTAAAAAATGGGAGCCTTGTCAAACTTGATTTCTAATAGGCAGGTGAAAGTTCAAGGTCATAGGGTCTCTAACCTTTTTCCTGAGCAGAAAGTATGTTGTGCAATATATCAAGTGTAACACGGAGACGGACAAATTGATCAGCATAATTATGTTGCTGTGCTTTGCAGGTGACTAAAAATAATCAAGATTCAAAGTTGAAGATTACATTGCTTTACACATTAATTCTGATTTTGTATAATGTTGTTGCAATTTATTGGAATAAACAAGGCATTTTATGTCAGTACTGTAACAGAGCAGATATGAAAGGATGCTTTGCAGCGTTATCTCATACTTTTTTCTTTTTTTTTTCACTTTTTGAGCCCTTTTTGCATGCACTCACTGCATCATTCCTGCATCTTCATATTTTTTCTTCGAATTCAGTGAACCAATTTTTGTATTGTAAATTAAAAGTGCTCCTGTTTTTTTGAATTTTTTTGTTTTGATAAAATTATACCAGTAACTTTTGATCAAATCAAAACTGACTTTCTTCTCCTGTTAGGGAAACTATTCAGAGCATCAAATTCTAAGTTCTACCCTTTTATCCACTGGAGTGTAGACTAACATATTATTTCAAAACATACAGTCTTTCGGAGGCTTTTCCAGGAGAGAAAAAAATTACATTTTGTAAGATACATGTATATTTTTTAATGTAGGAGAATACATTCACAGATGCTTGAATAAAGACACACATTTGATAAATTAAAAGAAATTGTTTCTTGTGTTTAAAAGTTGAAAAAAAAATTGCTGCATGCAGGTTTTATTTTTGATATTTTATATACTGCCATTCCATTACTTATTTTAATTTTTTGAATATAATTCTATGATTTCTTGATTCTTTTTTTAGATTCTTTGTGGGAAATTAACAATTTTGAAATGCCCCCTGCTCAAAATCCCCATTTTATGCAAGTAAAGGAAAACAACAATGGATTGGTCTGCTCCAAGATATCCGGACACCCTAATGCTAATGTACCTGTTAAATGTATGGGCTTGCTTTCCCATTATATATAAGTAAGTCAGACCGTTGTAGATTGTTCACAGTCAAGCTTCTATGTATACTAATTTTGAAGACTCTTTCATATAAGTACCAGGACTTATTTCTGTTGTAAAAAAAAAAATGGTATGGTACAACACCAAGGATTTCCAGGGATCATTGAAATCCCGGTAGCTTAGTTAAAAAATGAAGATAAATAAAATTGAAATGATTGAAGAAACAGTCAGTAAATTAATTTATCTTTGGTCCAAAGATGGGGGGGGGGGGGAGTCCATGGTATCAATGTTAACTCTATCTGTGATTTTAAGTTATAGATTATAGTATGGGAACATGAGAAGAAATGCTTGATCAACCAAATGTTGAAAAAACTGAAGCTAGTTTTATAGCTGTACAGTTTACAAAAGTTACATGTTTTGCAAAATTAGTAGATGGGGAATGAAAATCTTTATTCTGTTTATTTCTTATTTCAAAAGATGAATATTAGTGAAATTCAACAGATTAGAATAAACATGAATTGTGATTCTTTTTCAAAATTGCATTTTACATCATGATAGCATTACATAGTAAATACATTTCTTCAACACTTCTTTCAATAGGTATACCTTCCTAGATATTTAGGAATGCTTGCCCATACGTTTGATAGTACATGTTAAGTTGAACAAGATGCCTGAAACTAATTTTAAAAAAAAACACTTCATGTTTTAGTGTATGTTTGTTGTATTTTTTCAGATGTGTGTGTCTTGCAAAACTCGGGCATTTCTAACACGCCATTAGTTAACAACAACAGTTATTTCCCCTCCTTGACAGGAAGTAGTGTAGAGGAACATGAGAGAACAGTGTGGGCACAGCAAGGATATGACTCCCTGTTTATCCATTCGGTCATCAGTGAATTTCATGGATCTTAAGGTGGCTGCATCCAAAAAATAAATAACATCACCAGGAAAGGAAGCAGGGATCCTACTACATTTGTATTTATTTTTGTCAAAAAAAAAATTAGTTCTGTTCGCCAATGTACTTATCTTTCTAAATGGCTACATTTGTTTTGTGACATTTGTTTTTTGCTTATACATAAACATGTATATACATATGTATGACAAAAATGTTAATGTGCATTTTTATTTTTGTCCATGACCTATAAATTTAAGTTTTTTTGTAAAGAATCTCAATCTTTTAGGGATCCAGTTTTATGAAATGATAAGTAGACATTGGCAAATTGTTATCTTGCACCCTTTTGCAGATTATTAAAAAGTAAGATAAATCATTATCTGGGATATTTTACAATACGTTCTATTTCCACTACTGAAAAGTTATAGTTCTTAGTGCGCTCTTTTGTGAAAAAGTCGGAGAATGTACAAATCTCGCGGGATTTCTGGGACAAACGTAACATAAACATGTAAACAACACGTTGAATGTCGATGAACAAATCCTAACAAAATGCATATGAAATCTTTTATTGCTGTGGACTTTATTTAAATCAAGAGTAGAGATGACAAGGATATTAATTTATATTTATTGGTGATCGTATGTATCTCTTTATCATAATGGCACATTTAAAGTCGATACACATACCTCAGAATTATGTCGTATTTTTATCAATGGACGATAAAGTTAGGGTTTTCGCTCTCTTCCATATGTCATCTCGTTCTTCTATTCTTTAGTTAGAATGAAAAATGCACTTAACATTTAAAATTGGATTGATACTGGCATGTTTTGTATTATCCCCAATGCCATGCTGTCCCAGTCAGACGACCAAACACGCCTCTAATTCTGAAGAGTTCACTAATGGAAATACAACGTTTTTTGAGCAATATATCCCTTTAGAATCACTTACATAATTCTTTTTATGTATGTACTCCCACTTAGAGGGTTGGCAGTAATTTTTATGAAAGATAAGCATGACACTAAAATTTGACTAAAATCTACCCACTGTTTATTAAAATGCTATCTTTAAGCTGCTTCTTTTACCATTTTAATGTTCATGTACTTTATTATTATTATTTTTAGATTTTTTTATTTTGATGAATGTATAGGCAGCGTTCTTTACAAACAGTAAAGAACAAAATGTTCCCATCAAGTTCAAACATAATTTTATTTGTTTTTCTTTGATATTGGTAAACTTCTACCATTTTTCATTGAGTTGAATTTACTGTTTCACCGAGTTAAATTCCATGTACATATCATTTATTATCATAACTGCATGATTTATTGCAGAGTTCTCATTTAAGACTTTAAGTCAAAACATAATTTTCATTAATTATTGTAATTTTTTTTTTGCCACTTTTATTGACATTGAAGTAAATCAATGGGTGTATAAAAGTAGCAAATGTTAGTATCGTCTAGATATTCAATATATATACATGTATATGTCCTATGGACAAAAAAATCTGATTTATATACCTTCGCTGTGCTATGTATATGCTAAAAATTATAGTAGATGAAAATTCTTAAATTTTTTTTTAAAGCAAATGGATGTACACAATGTAAATAAGAATTAACATAGTAATGATATATTGCTGGATCTCTAAAAAAAAAACCAATACTCCAGGCTAATAAAGATAGTACTAGTAATTAATGCATGTATCGAATTATTTTTATCAAGATAAACAGATATACAGAATGATTATTTGCTTTTAGTTTATACATTTTAATTTGATGTTTTTGCCAATTTTTTTAAAAGTTGGATAACTTTTTTTATTTGATTCATATTTACAGTTTTATTTGAAGTTTGTTTTACCAAGAACGTTGAAATCGTCCCAGATAATCTTACTTGAAGATCTGAAAAATAGATAACTATATACATATAAATACATGCTGTTTTATACTTCCTAAAAGGAATGCAATTATTTGTAATCATAATGGCCTTTGTAATTTCTGCCATCACTGTCTCAGAGTTTTGAATGTCAGAGATTTTTCCCTCCATAATACATTATTTTATTGGTTGGTGCTGTTAATTAACAGGTGTATCTGTTTGTTAAAATTTTAATTACTGAGTGAATATTTGTGTGTTCATAAGTATTTATGATTATCTGAAAGTGTTTACATTGGACCACTGTTTGTTTATGTTTGCAAAGATTTTTCATGATTGTCCAAAACTAACTTGATCAAAACGTTTTTTTTTTTGAAAGTTTTGTATTTTTTATTGTGGATGATAAAGTGCAATGAAATATAAATAGTGAAATACCGGTGTTTTCTTTTTATTCGATTGATAAGATTGTGCACAGAGATTGGGGTTTCTTTGGCACATGAAAAAGACTTGATTTTGATTTGATATTAAAAGGTGTTAAGAGTTTCTCATTGAAAACGTAATATATGTAGACTTTATATCCTTTGAAGCAGTATTTATTCTTGACTTCTACATGAGGAACAAGATGTGTTTGTGAAACACTGATGCCCCCGTATGGCAACATAGCGAAGATTAAACTTTCTTATATGCAAATTAAATATATTGGTATCCAAAGTAGGGTATTTTCACTGGAAATACAATTGTGAAATATGAAAGTAGGCCAAGGTTAAAGTTTTTTCATAAGTACAGAAATCTCCAAGGTCAAGATAATTGGTATCCAATGAAAGGTCTTGCCACAAAGAATACGTATTTGAAGTATGGAAGCCCTAGTCCTAACCCTTAAAAAGTTATGGCCAAGGTTACCAATTTTAAAAAGTAGGTATTACTCCAAGGTCCAGGTCAAAGAGCCATAATTCTTGATATCAAATGAAAGGTCTTGTCACAAGAATCAAATATGAAAAGTGTGAAAGCACTAACCCTAATCCTTCGAAAGTCATGATCAAGGTTTGTTTTTTAAAGTATTCAAACTCCAAGGTCAAAGGGTCAAAGTTCTTGGTATCCAACGAAGGGTCTTCTCACATGGATTACATATGTGAAGTATGAGAGCACTAGCCCTTAGCGTTCAAAAGTTATGGCCAAGGTTAAAGTTTCTTCATAAGTACGGAAATCTCCAATATCAAGGTCAAAAGGTCAAGGTTATTGGTATCTAATGAAATGTCTTGCCACAAAAAATACATATGTAAAGTATGAAAGCCCTAGCCCTAACCCTTCAAAATTTATGGTCAAGGTTAACAATTTTGAAAAGTAGGTCAAACTCCGAGATCAATGGGTCAAATTTGGTGGTACCCAAAGAAAGGTCTTGTCATAAGTATCAAATATGTAGAGTATGAATGCACTAATCATAACCCTTTAAAAGGTATGGTCAAGGTTTTGCTTTTTAAAAGTAGGTCAAAGGGTCAAAGTTCTTGGTAGGGATGGGTATCGCCAAACATTTCGTATCGCGATATATCACGATTTTTTCTCCACAATATCACGATAATATCATGATATTTTTAAAAGCAGTTTACAATGATTCTATATGAAAAGTCATTATTTTTCTAAAAAATATGCTAGAAAAACAAAATTTTACTTTCTTGAAATTTTTATGTATATAAAATCAATTACGTTTGGACGGTAAGATGCCGTTCTTTTCACTTTTTACAACATTTTTTATACTTTCTGTAATTGTTATTGAAAGATTGAACAAATAAATGAATAATTTTGGACTTTATAATATGTACCTAAAGACCGGTATTTAGGTCTCCGTATCACGATACGTATCACGCAACAAAAAATCGCGATATACCGGTATACCGATAAAATCGCACATCCCTAGTTCTTGGTATCCATTGAAAGGTTTTTTCACAAGGATTACATATTTGAAGTGTGAGAGCACTAGTCCTTATTGTTCAAAAGTTATGGCAAAGGTTAAAGTTTTTTCACAAGTAAGGAAATCTCCAAGGTCAAAAGGTCAATGTTGTTGGTATCTAATGAAAGGTCTTTTCACAAAGTATATATATATATATATATATGAAAAATAAAAGTCCTGGTATCTACTGTTCAAAAGATATGGCCAAAGTAAAACTTTGGGATTTTTGTGTAAAAGTGGATCAAACTCCAAGGTCAAGGTCAAAAGGTCAAATTTGGTGGTACCCAGTGAAAGGTCTTGTCACAAGAAATGCACATGTGAAATATGAAAGTCATAGCTCCACTAAATCAAAAGTTATGGGCAAGGTTAAAGTTTTTGCGGACAACTAGACAGACAGACGGACACGACAAAAACTATATACCCCCGAAACTTCGTTGACGGGGGTATAAAAATACACTGCGATTGGATATTGGAAGGTCGCATCAAAGTATATTTTTCAACTATGCTATTCCCGCATTGTTCAATCTTTTAATGAGCTACGAAATATTCTCCTCTCATTCAACTACGGTCAGTTACAATAGTCGTTAACTCGACATTTAGATGAGTCGATGATGCACCAGTAATTAATGGTTACTTATTAATTCCTTTCATAAGTTGACTCGATGTATCCCAAGGAATTTTGAAATAAATGATTCCAAGGAGTCTGACACATCTGTTTCATATTTGGATATTTAATTTGATAAAGAAGTTAATGAAAACCTAACATAGTTAATAATATCATAAACTTCCCTTAAATACCAGTATACCAATATGTAGCAATATATACTTATTACCAGTTGTATATGGGGTTAAAGTCCCCCAGTTGATACGATACACAAGAGCATTCCTAACGTACGACAAATTTCTCAAACGAGGCAAGCTACTGATAAACAAGTTAATGAAACAAAGATATCTGCAGTGACGTACATTGTAAAAACGTCATAATTTTGTAAGTTCTGTGGTCAATATACTATGTATATGTATCAATACACATGATACAAAGTGGCATATGTTATAAAACTGGGACACGACGAATCACCCTCCATGCTCACTACAATAAGGGATGGGAGGATTCATCCGATTTTTTGTTTAAAGATACCTATACCCCAATTAATAATTTGAAAATTTGAGATAAACTTGCTTTTAAAACTAGTTTTTTGCTTGATTCGAACCAGCAAGTGAAATGGGAGATCATCCGTCTATATAGGATCTTTCACCAGAAGTGGCAAAATCGACTTTGCATTTAACAAAAATATTGCAGTTTTGAATAGTACACGAATAGTAGCTGACAGCGAGACAAGTTTGTGGGTTTGATTAGGGAGGCATACAAAGAATTTTGTCAACAACATAAATATGATAAACAGAGGGCACTATTCGAGAATGACTGGAGATGATTGATGACGGATTCACATTTTTTTGGTAAGTCATACATGATCGTCACTTTAACTATCGTTTTGTTTTGCATAAAATATAAAGATAAAGAACAGTATAAAAGCTCAAAGATCCATTCAAACAATTAAAAATTGGAAGCACGTCTCAAACATCAGATATGGGATCAGGTGCCATAGAGGAGTAACCATCCTCTGTAGACCGGTCACAGGTCGACCGTATGCTTCTTTTCATAATTAGGCGAACGCAAAGAATCTTTAGAAAATTCAGTTTGTGTATATTGGTCTAACAATTTGTATAAAAAACGCCAGTCAGTATTTGACATAAAGTTAGATTGTACTAATTGCTGACAAGATTGTTGTACCGACCACATAACGAAATTCTTGACATCTTGTTTCATCAATTTGTGAGAAAATTGTTTCTTTTTGAATTATGTTCGTAAGAAGTGCATCATCGAAATCATCTGAAAGACGTTAACCTTATATGCAGGTGACAAGGATACTTCACAAGAAGGGAAAGTATACCATAGAAAAGAAATTGAAGTCGTTATATTTATAACAAAGTCTTGTTGATAGATTACCATTATCATCTTTTTCTAGTAAAATACGGCGGTATTCAAATATGAAGCAGATCAGAAATAGATGCATGAAACTCTGATGTATCTTTTATTTCTAGTTCACTGGGTACCTAGTATTTCGAATCAACATATCAATGAAAGCAACTGGTGGTACATGTGTGTAAAATTAGAATGCTTTTTTTTTTGACGAAATAATTTTGCAAGTAAATTATGGTCTTATTTTGGCAAAAGGTTGGGATTAAGTTCCATAGAGAGTTTAAATATCCACATCTGGTATGTATTGTTATACAGTACTTCTTAAGTTTAATGAGGAGTAAATAAAGCGGTTTGAGAGAAAAAAAAAATGAAACTTTTCGTTTGTAAGTATTCTTATAAAGTTTGGGATTCCATTCTAAGAATAGTTACTTGTATTCAAATTCATCTTGAAGGTCGGGAACACTAAAAATTCATATTAAACTTTCTATTTTGATTTTGAAAAATTCTAATTCTTCCTCTTGGAAAGGGCGAATGTCATGCCCAGTTCTAACGATGACTGAATTGATTATAGAAGTTATTTTTTTAAAAAATCATTATTTAGAGATTGGGGGGGGGGGGGGGGGGGGGGAGAAACTTAAAACTTTTTCCATTTCAACTTCCTCTGCAATAAAAGATTCCTTGTATTTTCAATTTTTAGCGAGGGTGAAAGGCAATCATAGGAAATCATATTTTACATATAACTATATAGATAACTATTTTTTCCATCTTTGTAACAATGGCAATCAATCGACTAGTAATATAAATTTTGTAATAAAAGTTCATTGATATTTGAAAATTTGAACTTATGACCAATTCAACCGAGATTTGCTCTCGTTACATTCAAGGCAATTTAGGACTTCTGGATTTAGACGAGACGAGAATTGTTGGTTTTAGACATAATGATATTAAATATATAAATGTCGCCTGATTGGTCATACCCCGCGTTTCGTCAACAGATTTTCCAGGATTCAATCACCTCGATTAGAAAAGGTCATTCAAACAGCTGATTGGGGTTTCCTGCTGCATATGGAATTCCTTTCATGCATTGTTAATGATATTATTGATGTAAATGCTGATTTAATATTGATAACATTGTACAGAAGTAAGGACAGCAGAGAACGTGTAAATTTATCACGGGTTGCCATTCTTAGCCACTGCTCTATGCAAAATTAGGATATAAATTTAGGTAAGTGTTTTTATTGTTCTGAACAGATTCCTTCATGCTGATATATGGATGCTGTTTTATTTTGTAAGATACAGATAAAACTTGATAAACTTTTTGTCCCCCATTATATTGCTTTGAATTTGCAAAATTTTACAAATGAAGGATTTAAATATTTTGGCACTTAATTAAAATTTAGATCGTACTTGATTTTAACATAAAAAGTTATTGCGTTTAAAAAAGTTCAATAAGATACCCAAGTTTTATAACTAAAGATTTTTTTCGGGGATTAACTTTTAGAGAATTTTT